GTGTGCCTCCCTCGCGATTCACCGCTCTCTGCGGCCCTACCACGTTATCGGGATCCTTTATGACAAGCACAAGGACTCAGCTGGTTACAGGCACGGATGAGTATTTGAGTATCTTCATAGCATAACCATGAATTGAATAACTTGTATTCATCTATCGTTCGTTGGTACAGCCAAAATAGCCGCCCGTCTCAGCACCCACACGATGGGATCCCCTAAGCGCCGTCCATGTCCATGGTCGGAGAATATCACTGACCCTCCTGAGGTAACTTTTGAATCCATTCCATAACGCCTTTTGAGCCCTGACGCTCATGCTCAATACTCATGAAAGCCTCCTAGTGCGCAGCTGATTTACTGCCCTTCGCCATACGCTTGTTCATGAAGTCGAAGAAAGCGAATTGACTGGCCGATACACCGTACTCGTAAACGAAGCGACTGGCGAGGTAGCTTCCAAAGATGGCACGAAGATAGTTGTCCGGTACCTGCATATTGATTAGCCCATGCCTCATTTGCACGGTATTGGTTATGACTTACCCTCTTAATGATCTTGTCTAGACCAATCTTCTCAAGCAAGATGTTTGGCAGCGCCTCCTTAAGGATCGACTCCCTGAACTCAACGTTGTGCCACAGCTCGGTGTTCTGAAGTTCCTCATCCAGCTTCGTGATCGCGTTACTGAGGGTGTCACTGAGGACGCTGCGAGGCTGACCAGTGTTCTGGTGTTCCCTCCAAATGGCCTCAAACTCAAGACGTGCATTGTTCTGAATAGTCTTCTGCACTTGGCGAACGTAGTTGTTGTAGAACTCCGGAGCCTGGCCGTCTTCACCAACACACATGTGCTTGAGGAAGCTCTCGTCGTCGAATGCCAGTGATGCGAGGACCTCAAGCGAGGAAGAAGTAACACCACCCTTGTTGGCTGAAGCATCCTTGTATAGAATGCAACCAGCCTTCTCGAGACGGAGCTTGGCGTCTTGGGTGATGAAGAGGTTAGCACCTTCCACAATGTATGGGATTACCGATTTGCCATCAACAATGAGCTTGTTGGCAGTTGACAGATCGATAGACTCAGGTCGACCACCACAAGGGACGAAGGAGTCGTAGTGCATGTCACTGCGGAGATGGAAAGTGTTTCGGAAGGTTGTACCGTTGTAGACAAGGTCTCCGTTTGGCAGTCGCTTGTTGGTGTCATCAACCAAGATACGGTAGCCTTCTGGTGAAAGCTTCGAAGCATCAAAGTGGTTGATCATCTTACGCTCCTTGGCTAGGCGCACAAGCTCCTCGTGGTTGATACCATTGTTGTCGACCAAGACACCGGAACCGTCAACGATTGCAACGTACTTCTCATTGCTGAGCAGGATCTCGTTCGAACCAAGATCACCGTCAGGACCACCTGTCTGCAGCTTGCGAACCTTGCTGGGGTCGAGGTTAAGCTTGCGGTAGATACCCAAAACGTACTCACGGACAGACAATGTCGTCATGCCGTATCGGTCGTGAGGGATACCGCCCAACTTGGGGCTCTTTCCGGTGAAAAATGACTTCCACCATGGGGCGCCTCGAGTGCGTGCATGCTCAGTGGCCCAGTCGACAAGATCAGCAGTGTTCTCATCAGGACCCATGAAGAGGATTTCTTCCTTGCCGTGGAGATCGACAATAGGATCCTTGATACCAGGACTGGTAGGAGGCAGGAGTAGATCGAGGATGCTGTCAATGTACTTCTCAAAAGCGCCCCGGGCCTTATCCTGGTGTTTGAAGTCAAGGAGCACGACGCCCTTGGAACCACCTTCCGGAATGTCCTTGTTCTTACGTTGCTGCGTGTTTGCAAGGTTGTAGTTCTCATCAAACATGGAGCGCGCGTTGATAGAGTAGGCCTCCTGACTCCTAGATTTGACAATGCGGATACCTCCACGAGCAATGTCACGGAAGCGGAGATGGAAACCACGGAACTCAGAACCGATGACAAGGAACATTCCATACAACGGCTGAGGGTACTCTGTGGATGGGAGGAAGGTGGGGTTCAGACGGAAGCTGATGGCGACCTTGGTAGGAGTATAGAAGTTCGTCTTCAGTACCGACTGATTGAAGACACGGAAGGCGGTCATGACCATCTCATGGTGATCGTTGGCAACTGCCTTGTTGATGGTATCGGTCAACTCCGCGTCTGTCTGAACCTTGTCAACCTGGAGACGGAGATAACTCAGAGTCGGCAGGAAGTCGTCCTCTTGGCCCCTGGTCTGGACGTAGTGAGTCTTCGCGAATGGAAGATACAAGGTGTGGACGAGTTCTGGGTAAGTCATGATGATCTCGTAGATGTAGTCAGCGGTAAAGGTCTCGGCACGAAGTCGGCGCTTCAGCTTGGAAAGCAGCTCGGCATGTACGCTGTTTTCTGGGTCCAGGATTGCTGATAAGGCAGTGTACTCGCTTCCCAGTCGGTTGAGGAAGTGAGTAATGAAGACCCACACGCAGTGTGCATAGATGGTCTCTTGTAAACTCAGTCTGCTCGTAGCGAAAAGCGTCTGGAACTTGTTTTGTGGAAGACAGTAGAGCAGAGAAACCTCCTTGGTGATCTGGTGGATTGAGGCTTCGATTGGTGGGTGCTTGGCACCGGCAGCTCCTGGAAGCGGGCGCAAGTAGAGGGACATGACGGTGTAGCCGTTGGAGAACTGCTCGACGTACTTTCGCGAGGTAGTCAGACCATAGTAATGGTACAGATCGCTCAAGGCACTGAAAAGACCCAATGCACTTCCGCGCTTGAATCCGACGACCAAACGCTTGTCTCTTGAGCCTTCGATATCGAAATGGTCAATGACCGGGCCCGTTCGCTCTACAGCGACCTGGAGGATTTGTTGGTAAACCTCCTTGGTGTTCTTGGTCGCCTTCTGCAGGAAACGCTTATCACCAATCTTCTCGATGTCGGTCTCCGTCTCGCTGGGGTTGGGGTCGACAAAGTCGCATTGGTAGACGAAATAGCATCGCAATTGCTGGTTTTCGCTTCCTGGCAGCGGGCTCTCGGAACGGAAGCTCTCTACACGGTATGCCAGACCGGGCTTGGATACAGCCAGGTACTTCTTGCCCAAACGTTGCTCGTATTGAGGGCCGTCGATGACACTCACACCGGGCCTGCTGGTATCGATGTACACGGCGTGGTCGGCAGCTTCCTTGTCAAGCCTGATCTCAAGACGCTTGTCGTCTCTGGCATATGCGGCGACCTTCGCGGCGTAGAGCGAGTGGATGTGGCTGATGATTCTGTAACGTTTGTTAGCGCAGTCGCTGAGGGAATTGCAGCCGTGCTTACGCATCTACCGTCTCGGTAGCAAAGTACATGTCGTCAATGCCCAGCTCGTTGTAGAACCACTTGGTTTCTGATTCTACGAGCTCTGGGGGCATGAAGCCCTTCTCCTCGACGCCGTCCATGACGGCCTCCATCTGCTGTGCCTTGCCCTCGAATACAGGAGCAACATAGCCGGAACCGCCCGATCCCTCCTGGGGGATCATTCGCGGCGTTGAGCTTCCTGAGCCTGGTGCGCTCAGATGTGTGGGAAGAGGTGAAGGGCGGCGGTCTGGGGTGTGAAGGAGCTGCTCGAGCTGCTTGTGCTGAGCCGGGTGGCCATTTGCGGCGTCAACTGGTGTGGAAGCCATGCTGGGCGTGTGCAATTGAACTGTGAGTTGTCCAAAAAGGTGCTGTATAGTGATTGAGACGAAGCCTGGTAGAAATGCGTGCTTAGTGAGACGCGTCAGGCGTGGTAAGAAAGCGCAACGAGTTTGGTCGATCGCGCGATAGTGGGGCGTTGAATAGAGGGGCAGTCGAAACCAAGCCTACAAACTTATAATTAGTCGGCCGTTCGATACAGATATACGAAGAATGTCAGATGCACCGCTATTTCGGGCCTCGCAAAATGCTATGATGTAGGAACGTTAGCTTACCTTCTAGTACAACCAACGAGCCGCAGCCGTCGATCACCGCTTCGGATAAGGATAGTAGAGGCAATTGGACAGATGATCCACCGCTCTTTGTTTGATGGGTCTGCGGAATCGGGAGAGCAAATTGTGTACAGGCAGATCTTGCAGTAGCCCGTATACCCGTTTAACACGTCCGATGCCAGTCAGGATGTGAGTGACAGCGAAGTATGTCGGTACAACGCTACAATCTTCCAGGTACCTGACGGTGAAACAGTAACCCTGGATGTGGATGATAACAAGATAAGATGATAGAGTACAGGAGAATGAGGCTTGCAGCCGATGAGAGTACCTTCCAATCCAGCAGCAAGAGCGGACCCCGTTGCCTTTATAACCCTTCTCGTCTCGTCTCATGGTCGTTGGATGCTCGGCGGCGGCGTACCTGAACTGGCCCGCCGCAAGCCGAATTTGCGGAGGTGCATGGGTAAGCCCGCTAGCGCTGCACCGTACCACCCAGACTTCACGTAATTAGAACGGGGCCCCCAAGCCGGTGCTTCAGTACTCGAAAGAACATGACCTGCAAAAAAGCCGCATCAGAGTTTTCCCCAGTGATGCCGAGAAAGCCTAGCCTTGCCTGCATGAGCTGCAGCTGTTGCAGTAGTGTCTCAATACCATACTCCCCACTACGCGTCCTGCAGAACTCACGATCCTTGGCGGAGTCTCCAAACGGTTTCCATGACTGTACGTGGCCCCTTGGTACTGGATTGCGTGCTGCACGTGGTCCCCGTCCGGCCGTTACAGGATCCATTGCACCATATTTGCTGCTGGTCGGTGATGAGGCGGGGAGTCATCCAGCCCGCCGTAGGTCACGATGCCCCGTCGCTTCCGAGCCATGGCCATTGCACGACCAGTGAAGCCGTCATTATACACCGCCCACCGTGTCACGATGCTTCCCCGTGTCAGGTGCTGTGCCACCGGCGATTACAAAGGCCTGGATTTCACGATCTTCGCCACTGTGCTGAACAATTAAGGTTCTATTCTCGTGCGAAGCTAGAATCTAGACTATGCCATCACGACTCTGTCGGAGAGCCGAAAGCACAAAGGCTGCCCCTTAATCATCCTCACTGTATTCCTTGCCATTGATCCTCAAAAGCACTTTGTATCCGTGTCCTCCTATCCAGTTCTTCTTCTTTCCCGCCTTTTCCACCTTTCTCAGTGCTGCATTGAGCCCTTCGTCAAGTTCATCCGGTTCCTTACTAAACTTGAAATCTACACACAACTTCTCGTTTCCTTTCTTTGTCGTCGTCCATTGTGAAGTCAGTTCCACCCTCTTCTCCCGAACCACACCCGCAGGATATACGCTGGCCAAAACTGCAGCAACGCGACCAGTATACATGCACCACCATTGCAAGTGTCCTGGCACGAGTTGCAGCATTCGGCGGTAGAAATCCTGCTCCGTAGGACTTATCGAACTGTAACCGCCATAGCGTTCGCAGAGGAAGATGGCAAGTATCGCGCGGTCTTCGTGACTCAAACCATGTGCGGCGGAAAACAATCCGGTGGTAGTGCTTCGAAGCGCAGATCCAGCTCGCAGATCCTTGACTTGAGCCATGTGTGCAAACATAGTATAGGCGAATGCTCTCGTCATACCGATGCTGAACAACTCTTGGTGCGATGGTGTTGGCATAGACATACTGGCTCTTTGCAAAACTTCCACAAACTCATGGCTCGACGGCTTGGCATACGATCTTGTGGCAGCCACTAAGGGCCAGTCCGACCAGTTTGCTGGGTCCATCTCCGCGAAATACATGCCTTCTCGTACACCTCCTTGACAGAAGTATACGTCCTTGATACTCGGTAGTGCTTTAGACAAGCAATTCACCAGGAAAGCTACTGCTGGAACCTGACTTGCTCTGCGAGCCGATACACGGAAGATTTCAGGAGTATCCTCTTTTTGAACGGCAGCTTGTATAGCCAGCGTATCATGGAATGCATCCTTGGTGGTACGGAACCCGTTAATGATAGGTATGGGATATGGTTGGATTGCATGCTCCGACATAAGTACGAAGCCCCAGCCACGAAAGCCACCACCAGACAGATAGAGTGAAAGGCCTTCGGGTGAATGTGAACGATCAAGCAGATGCTGTGGTATCTTTATGTCTTGAACTGCAGCTTTGAGATCCATGAGAACTTGACTTTCGAACGTCTTGAAAGCATCGCTGTCGGGAGAGCCTGCTTCTTCAAGCCTCTTGATAAGGGCAGCAGCACCGTACGGGAGGCTTGCACTTCCTTTCTCGCACATTTCAATTTCATCGTAACCGACCCGACTAGACATCCAGTTGATCTGCGTAGAGCCTCCACCTAGGTCCATCATGAGCCCTGTTGGCCTATGATATGAGCTTGCTACACCGAACGCTCCGACCCGGCCTTCCATCTCTTTCGACAGAAGTTGAACAGTCCAGCCGGTAGCATCTTTGATCGTATTTTGAAAGTCCTCAGAATTGCTAGCTTTTCTGGTAGCTTCCGTAGCTACAATGCGAATCTGCTTCTCAGGTACGCCGAAGTCTTCGCACGTCGCTTTGAAACGCAACAGAGATTTGACCACTTGCTTGATCGTAGCGTCTGGAATCGGCACGACTTGGCCATTTTCGTATTGAGCGTCATATAATGAAATAGCTGCCCGATCCAGATACACAGTCGGCAAAATTCTTTGTGTCCCTGGCGTTAGTTCGGTGATTGAGAAGCGGATGCCGTTACTGCCCATGTCAACCAACCCATGGAGGTGTCTTGACTCGTCTGTCGTGACCATTTTGGTAGCGCAGGTTCCCCAGATTTGCTATTGGTGCTCCAAATGTCAGCCAAGAAGTAAGCGGAAGAGACGGTGCGAGCCGTAGAAATTCGATGGCGTGATTGATGGGGTTCCAGTTCGAGGCTTAGTTTCTCTTACCCCCAGGAAACTCGTAGCGGCGTTTTTGGTGTTCCCGCTTTATGCAAGAGTGATATTGATTACCCCCAGGTTTCGGAACGTAGTTTCTATTACCCCCAGATTACTTGAGAGGTTGTAGCGACAGTGTCCGGTGATGCGCAGTGTTTTCTGGGGTAAACTTCCTGTGTTCGTGGTGACGTAGCGGGGTGTCCCACTGCTTGCACGAAGGAAAACTTCGGCACTAGCAGCCCGACCAATCATACAAGGTGATGACCATGAACCTGGGAAGGAACCTTCAACGCCCGCGGCCGTGACGAAGGCGGAAGTGTCTGTGAAAGAATGGATCGCGAGATCGGTCCTGCTCTGTATTCGCTAAGCAACGTGGTGGAAGGTATCGCTGCTGTGGTGATTCGCGAATCGCGGTCAGTTTTGGGGAAGGGAAGCTTGGTAGATATCGAGCGAACGTCAAAAAGACTGTTGTCAGCAAAAAACCTGATTGAACCAATCACAACTGAAAGTACAGATACAACACGGAGAAGATGGGATTGACTACCTGTTGTGCATGGCAGAGGGCGTACGGCTAGCTGGGAAGGGCTGAAAGCCTGTAGTAGGCATCATTCAAACTAAGAGCGAGTGTTGCCCTTCTATGAGCCCTACAAAACACTCGACTCTTAGCATGTTCGTTCAATTCGGTTTCTTCGATTGCTGAGCAGAACGCGATGGCCGAAGCATACCATAGCAGTCAACAAGAAACTGCCGCTCGAAGAAAAGAACATGCAGAACGTAAATACCGGCCACTGCACCCATACTAATTAGGTCTCCAAGGACGCCGAGCCTTCCAAAAAATCCAATTACAGGTTTTGTTCGCATCAATGTAGGTATGATGACCGCGGGTGCCACTGCGGTAAGGGAAGGCAGCGTCTCGAGTACATTGAACTCGGAGCCGTTTCTCGAAAAGAATCTCCTGATGAACCAAGTATTCCAGACGATACGCAGACCCATGTTGACTGTATTTGCAAGCACTACGCCGTTGCCTCCCATCTCAAGCTTCCCGATAAAGAACCATGCACTGCCTGCAAAGAGTGCGAAGAAGATGCCCATGGAAACGGATTGTGCATATAGCTCTTTGTTGGTGGCCACCGCGGCTACAAAAGCTTCAGTCACTCCGTTGATAGCGAGGAAAGGTATGTAGTAGCAGTATGTTGACAGCACCTTTGAAGCCGAGGTCGCAGACCACTTTTGTCCTGCGACGATGGAAAGGAGCACAGGAGCCAGTTCAGGTCCCAGTGTGACTGCAAACAAGGAGATGATTCCATAAAGACGAAGTATGGTACTCAAGACTTTAGAAGCTTGCGCAAGGTTGTCCTTTTGTTCATTTGACTTCTTCGGATCTTTCTTCTCTGTTCCAGGCGACGATCCTACATTGGCGCATAGTTTTGCAAACATGTTCCTGCTACTTTCTTCGATGGGCTGGAAAAGCATGCGTGCGATCAAACCTCCATAGTTCGAGGCAAGCGCATAGGCGCCTTGGTCTGCGAGAGATGCCAATGTTGTTATAAGGAGAGAGTCCCCCTGGGTGAGAACATACTTCAGAGCCGATTGCAGACTAAGAGACGCAGTCAGTCGCAAAAGAGGAGCCGAGAAGTAGTTTATCAAAGTCGGATTCTCCTGAGTTGATGGAACTCTTTCCGGGAACAGCGAAAAGCCATCATTCTTCGCAACAGGCCACGTTTTGTACGAATACACAATGAGCAAAGCCAAGGCATACGCCAACTGTCCGATAGCGAATGGCAAGACTCCGATGTCTAGACCAGCTCGACTAGCCAAGATCGCTGAGCCACATGTACCGATGCAGCGCAGCAAAGTAGCAGAGCTCTCAGCCGATGCTCGAACCTTGTAGAGCAGCTTCTGCTGTACAGCCGAAAATGCCGGCTCGCTGAGCAATTCCAAGAAGGCGGCCAGACAATACACAAGCAACGCTTCCACAAAGTACGGAACATGCGGCGTATCGGATCGCAGCCATAGTAGCGCGAGAAGATACGCCAGAGGCGTGCCGAACAGGACAGCCAAATATGAAAGGTTGACGACTGCCTGGGTTCCTTGTGCCTGACGTTGTAAAGCCACACGCAGACTCTCGCGCGCAAAATACAACACGGAGATGGAAAAGAGCTCAAGTTGAGCTGAAACGCCCAATAACTCTGGTGATAGGAATCTCAACAGAACCTGGTTGACGGCAAACGTCAGCGCCCGAGAAGCCACCTGCAGTAGGATGAGAAAGGTGGCTCCCTTCGCGGAAGCGGAAAGTATTGAATTCGACATGGTAAAGCCTGGGTCTGACCGGAAATGACGAGGAAGCTTTGGAAATGATGTAAATTAAGTTCAGGACGGCATCTTGATTGGTTGTGACGTTGTGGATGCGGTGTGTTTGAACAGCTGTGGTCGTGGAACGGGAGCTGTCGGTGTCTGAGAACGGTTAAGCGTGTTTGTTCTCCTGCGAGGTACAGCTCAGGCCTTGCTCCAGCTTGATGACACGCGACACGACACGATGTGAGTCTTAATCAGCGCACAACACAGGACTAACAATGGCTCGAATTTCAATTCTCATTCCGCACGCTGGAGACGATGGTGGTGGTTGACCCGAATTTGTTTGCGAGGACCGAGCGGCTGCTGTTGCGACCGTTGCGCCTCGAAGATGCAGAGGATATATTGTTGATGCGGAAGCATCCGGAGGTTATGATGCATACTTCTATTCTCCCTTCGGATGATCTTGAGGGTGCGAAAGCATGGATACAAGGTGTAAGCATATCGTCCCATCGATTACAATTGTACATGCACTAACCTTCGGCAGTGCCACCAGGTTGAAGGGAACTGGAACTTCGCAATCGTCCTCCTAGCGCCACACGAAGGACCCGATGTCATCGGACTGATCGGAGCAGTCCGCGCCCCAGAGATCGGCTACATGTTCAATGCCTCGTACTGGGGCCATGGGTATGCTACCGAAGCGTTGCGCGCATTTATGCCATTGTTCTTTGAGCATTACTCAGGACGCGACTTGGCAAATTACATGCCGGAAGTCCTCGGACGAGCCTCACACAATGGAAATACAAAGGATGAGCATGTAGAAGACGATGACAGGATCATCAGGAACAGGCTTGCGCCGAGATACGACTATGCAGAGGCACATACCGATACCGAGCTGGCATCTAGTCAGAATGTCTTGGAGAAAGTCGGTTTCAAGCTACACGAGAAGAGGGAGAATGACTTTGAAAATCCTGTCCTAGGATTGCGGTCGACTTATATTTACAGGATGTACAGAACTGCTGCTGAAGCAAAGCTTCCTAGGTAGTCTCGCATAGGAGCAGAGTATCTAGATAAGCCAGCTTTGCGCATACCATCAGTTCTTCTGTAACATATATGTAGTATCACCAAACCACTTTGGCCATTGAATGGTCGATCCCGTCTCCTGTTTTGCCTCGGAAACGTTCTGCAAGCTCGCAAGCTGTGGCTTCTGATTCTTTGATACCCTTCCTTTTCTTGTTTCTCTCCATGTCACTATCACTTGATTCATCCTCGCAGGGCGTGGTCACGACACCGCCCGGCATCTTTCGGAGCCTTGGGTCATCTTCAAGCTCTGGACCAGCGTCGCTGTGTTCTTCTGCGGCGAATTCACAGTTGTCAGTCTGATGGGTGATGTGCTTGTCGGTGTATACCTTTGTGAAGTAGTCAACAGCTGATGTGATCAGACTCGACACGGCTGACTGGGAGGATGAGACAGTAGAGGGCGGTGATACGGGATCAGTGTATCTGTGTCGCCAAAGGGGTATCTTCCATTGAGATGACTGGTGGCGTTCAAACTCTGGCGTGTCTGGTATATCGTCGAAATATTCCTGAGGAGCGATAAGGTCGCCTCGTCCGCAAGCCCTCATCACACCTTCTCCAGAAGACCCTGGACACCAACTTGCATTTGGTGTAACAGATGTACGATGTATTTCAGGTATCTCAAAAGAGTAGTTGAGTGGGCTTCCTATGGACGGGTCTGAGCCGTGACGTTTTCCGTCTTGTGGACTTTCGACAGGTGTCGCCTCTTCCGTCTCGAATTCGATCCGCGGAGCCGACTGGGTCTGCCGGAGACGATGTACTGAGGGTATACGTTGAACTGGCTGGGAACTGATGTCTTGACGCTCAGAGCGATTTTCATGCGTGCGTTCAAAGTGCGACTGCTTTTGCCTCTTTTTCTTCGAAGAAATTCGGGCTCGGTTCAGAAACATGGTGTTGTGCTTACGACGATAGTTCTTTGGCACTGCTGCCTGACATATGAGTCGTGAGAAGAAGCCAGGCTCCGACAATGAGCTAGAACTCTCTCTTGATAAGGAGCCTCGTGAGTCCTCGCGAACGACAATGGCTGGTGGCCCGTCTGTCCACCCGCTTGCCGCAAATTGTGGAACACAACCGCTGCTTTGCCTGCGTGATTTGCGTTTCTGACTGACATGCTGTGCTAACTTCTCTTCGTTCGATGGCCCAGCGTAAAGGTCAGGCCATGAATCCGTTTCAGAAGGCGGACGGGCTTGATGACCCGCGGCTGGAGAGAAGTGGTAATGAGAATGAGATCGTAGAGCTGTAATGAATCTCGTCTCTTTGCGCTGCTGGAACAAAGGAATGTGATTTGCGCTCGAAGGGGGTAGGTGAGTATAGGAAGCTGCTAGTAATTGCAAAGCAATGATGCGGACGAGAGTTTCAAAAGCAGTCGTCTTGCTTGAAGAGGTAGCTGGCAGAAATTCGTGGTTTTCTAACTGTCGGAGTAGCTGGGTAGCAGTAGGAAGCGCCTGTGTATGTCAGGACAAAGACAAGTCGATTACACAAGTAGCTCACTCGATGAGGCTGCCGTGCTCTGGGCGTCCAGAATTCATCGCATTCTTGCGACTGCAGCCAATCCGCAATCTCTCTTATGATTCGTGCCTCAGCTTTCGCAGATGTGAATAATTCATTCGGGGTATTTTGCCGGTAATCCTCCTTGGGACGGGTCACGTATCCACCGTTTTTGCCAAACAGCCAATGTAAGGAGAGATACTGCGTGTCGGAAGTGTCCACAGGCTGTTCTGGAATTATGCGGATACTGAGCTTGCCTGGTGGTCGCTGCATCGGAAATAGGTAGAGGTGGATTGTGTGCAGAAAGTAAGAGACAAGGGAAGTCAAGTAAAATACCATAGGTTGATGTAAGAGACTATGTGGTAGGCGCACTGGTGATGGCGTGGAAGGCTCATGCCATACATGGTGGCACCGTATACGAGGGGAAAACCGAACAGGTAAAGACATAACAAGCTTTACCTTGCAGCCTACATTATCTTCTAATAAGAAAACTTATTGAGATTAACAGTATTGTAGTCTTCTAGGCTTTTAATCTATATCTATATAGCTCTCTGTATGCTCTTGTGTAGTAGGAAGGAGTACTCTTAAAGAGGAAGTTTTTTTTCTTTAATACAGTGGTGGCGCAACTTCGTTACAGATACTCCATCGTAGCGCTCTCTCCTACCATGCTCTACATTTTGTGTCGAAACATCTGCAGTCATCGGGCCTCGAATTTTCATGCTCCTGTCCATGTTCAAGGTTGCGCCACTACTCGTTCGTATGAAGGAGCATACAGTGGTCCTACTTCTTTTGGCCTCTACTTTCCCATGCACCTCATGTGCCACCCATGGGCGAGTCATCATGTGTTTTCGACGTGCTAGAGTCTGCACCAGCAGAGCCTATCACTGCCTTCTCTGCCACCAGATGCGAGCCTTCTGACGTTTTCGCGATTACCAAGCGCGACTTCTCCCCTCTCTTTGCTTTGGCTTCATTCAGCCTGGCGAGAAAGCTCGAGGACGCGGATGAGCCCTGGTTACTTGTAGCAGTCTGAGTGTTCGCAGTGGTCGGGATGTTCCTCGCAGCGTTCTGGTCATCGCCTGGAGTATGCGTGACCTCAGTCGCCTGTTCTGCATCGCCAGCGTTGTCGACAAGATCATCGCGCGGTCGCAGACGTCCAACCTTTGCTACCAGCTTTGCGGATCCCAGAGCCAACAAGTCGACTGATGGCAGAGACCGCAGGACCTGTGATTGAGTCGAAGCGTTCACATCTGGCTTCACGAAAAACATGTCGGTTCCGATGGTCGACGTCCAATGGCAACTTAGTAACTGGCCGTTATACATGATCAGTGGATTCGATGTGTGAAGGCCGACGACTTGGACTTCTCCCATGGTAGCCGTCTCTTGCACATCGTTATTGTTGTTGGCAGCGAATTCAGCTGGTTGACCTCGCGCTGCATTCAGCGCACGCAATCTGCTCTTGAGTAAAGTTGGGTGACCCGGTCTACCCTGCGAGACCATGGGAATTTGCGCAGAGGGGACATTGGACAAGTCGAGCGGGATATAGAAATCTTCTGTCTCATTGTCGTCGTACTCGTACTCCCATTCATCCTCTTCGGGTTTGGCCATGGTTAGCGGCTTTGTCGTGCGTTGGCGCAAGCTTGAAGGATTGCAAGGTCAGCAGTGGTGGGGCTACTTGACAGAAGCGTACGAATTGACAACGAATTTGCTCGAGCGACTAGCCTCAGCACGTAGCAGCTCGTTAGATCAAATGACATTATAAATGTTACATTTGATCATTCTTCCATCCAAACCAAGCACGGTTTCGTTACGAAACATTCTCCCCGTAGCTCAGTTGGTTTAGAGCGTCTGACTGTAATATCTGCTGTTATCAGAAGGTCCCTTGTTCGACTCATGGTGGGGAGACAGTTCTATCTTTTTTGGCCGTTGCGAGTTCTCTTTTGCCATAAGATGATGGCAGGATGGATATTATTGCGCTCAGCCTACCATGCTTGCTTTTTGTATAGCGCGATCAACCGACAAGGGCGTTGCTACTCAGACCTCGTTCCCATGCTTCCAATCTGGCCCTTGTCTGGGGATTTCCACAATCAAGATCCGTCATAGAGTGGCAGAAGTATGCAACAAGCCACAGCTAAGACCAGTCAACCCCTCCCCATAGTGTGGATAATGGGTGTGCAGCAGCCCGTGCCTGGAAGCCAAGTTGCGAGCCGCATGGCTGCCGAGGTCCCCGCTGCATCTCTAATTAGTGGTGACGACGTGCGCCCAGCCGGCAGCTATCAGACATGCATCAAACACCAAAGATACGCGCCACCTCAATTCCAGCTTCCATCGCGCATCTTCTTCCATTGTTACATTGTGCGTAAGCTCACATTGAACGCTTCACATCCTCCAAGTCTGGTTTTGGTATCAAATCGGCTGGCTACGGCCTTCTGTCCGCATCAGTAAGTGTGCTTCCGCGCATGTCCGGCCAGATTATAGCACTTCAAGTCATCATGACCTTTCCGTCACCTCCGCGCCCTCCCCACTTTTGCATATGCCATTAGCTCAGTTCACATGTTTGTGGACCTTGCGATGGCCTCCATGCTGCCGATCATGCCGGTTGTTACCTACACTTGCCATCACCGGCATCGCGTCGCATGGTCGATTGCAGGATCTCGAAGCCACACCTGCCACACCTGACATCTTTTTGTCAGCCATCCGGCAGTATCGGCTTCAGGTCGTTCCTACTCCGCTTCAAACGTTCCCTGCCTTGCCTGTTTGAGCCTTGGATGAAAAGCTAACCAGTCAGTGCCCATTGTTCCATACCTTCAACATGGCGGAGGGCAGGTCCCACTTCAGGCGGTCCTTCCGTCATCGCTTCCTTCGTCATCCATATCTTCAATAGATGTACCTGAGTACGCTCCGATAGCAATATATCCTCCGACCGAATCACCAAACGCTGCGCAGGACGCTTCCGAAACCCAGACCCTACCCACCATCGACATTCCTATAGCGCATTCTTCCCCATCAGAGCCAGCTGCGGAAGCTTCCACGTCTCTCGCTGGCCTCGACAACTCGTTGAACGAGGACGACGTTCAAATGAAGGGCAGGAAACCCGCCATCGCCGCTGCGGGCACCTTCTTTGGGTTGTTCTCGTTCTCGCAACTATACCAAAACGTTCTTTTTGAAAACTTGACCCCCTCGAGCGAACGCGCAGATGAGGCGGAATGGGTCGCATCGTCACGGTCCTGGGTAGACCGGAAGGCTTGTGGTTGGTTCGGTATGTGTGGCCTGTCGCACCTGAACAAGGCACAATGGACTACGCAGACATTCAAGGCCCACAGCCAGAAGACAACGGAGGACAGGGATGAAGTCAAGTTGAACTTGAATGACTTTTGGAACGATGCGCGGAACATCCCCGCTGATTACACGCCGGACGACGCACTCGAGGTACCGCAATATGTTTTGGACCACGCGCCGCTCATTCATCTCTTCTCGGGAGAGGAGTACTGGCCAGGAGACATGGCAGAACACTTGATACACACCACACCACATCTGAATTACACGCCTCTGCAAGCATCTAGTGATCACCCGAACATCAGCAATCTTGGAGACCTTAACAAGTGGGGACGATTTGTATATCTCCAGAGCGATGACAATGTCGAGGACCGTCCGTCGTGGTTGGGTGCGGACTACAACATACCCAATGCGCCAAGTGATGGAAATGATGACGACGACGACGACGAAGACTATGATGGCGATTACCATAGCGGGCCTCCTGGACACCTTATAGAGGACAAGGATGGCAAAAAGTCTAGCTGGTGGCATGTAGGTGATGGCGATACTAGGGACCGAGGCGGTATCCGGCCAGACCCCACAGCCCCAGGACTTCCAGTCCCTTCGAACACAAATGAAGGCGATGAGCTTGTTGATGACAACGATGACAAGCATTGGAGATCAGAGCTGCGTTACAGTCGCCGCAGCTTCACTGGCAAGAAAGTTGTTGGTGGTAGAAGTGATGCGCCCGTCCCGTTGGTTGTAGTAGACAAGGGTGATGGTGTGGTTGACGCTTTCTGGTTCTTCTTCTACAGTTACAACCTTGGAAATGCTGTGTTCAACATCCGCTTCGGCAACCACGTTGGTGACTGGGAACACACAGTGGTCAGATTTCAGCATGGCGAGCCCAAGGCAGTGTTCTTCAGTGAGCATAGCTTTGGTGAAGCGTACACATGGGACGCTGTAGAGAAGAGTGGACAGAGGGTGAGTCTATTGTCCTAGCGCTATAATGCGAAACTAACATGCCTAGCCCATCGGCTTCTCTGCCACCGGTACCCACGCCATGTACGCGACAGCAGGTGTACATCCATACGTCCTGCCCGGTGGCATTCTGCACGATGTGACTGACCGTGGTCCTCTCTGGGATCCCGTCATGAACATGTACTCGTACAAGTACGACTATCGATCTGACCGACTGGTTGCATCCAACCTTAACCCGCGCGCACCTACCTCGTGGTTCTATTTTGCTGGTCACTGGGGCGACAAGTTTTACCCACTTAGCGACCCTCGACAATACCGCTTTTTGGGCCAGTACCATTACGTTAACGGACCGCTAGGCCCCCGCTTCAAGAACCTAGGGCGACAAGAAATTTGTCAAGGCAACGGTGAGTGCGTGCTCAAGGGACGACCCGGAGAGAAATCACGCATCACGAAGAGGTGGACTGATGTCGGCGAAGGTGAGGAGATGAACGAGGAAGACGCGAAGCGCATCTTCGGTGCCGAGTATGATTCGGCGTCTTGAAGATGCGATTGACGAGAACATGACATTATCGATAGCGACGTTTTGTTGACACTCACTGTATAGCTGCATGGCGTTTTCTTGTATCTGTACCATACTTGGTTAGCGTCGTTTGGAGATACCTAAGTAGCACAGCATGCGCATATGTTTATTCATTCTACAGATCTTTTGCGCACATCAGTGGCGCTGTTCACAAAACAAATTGAGTCTGACGTAGCCGTCGTGACTCAAGGGGCAACTCGACTCCATATCAAACTCTGCAAAGAGTTGTTCCTTGCCGTGCTTGGTATACATTCACCTGGACTCCTCGATTGGGTAAGTCAAGCGGGCAGCAACTCGCCGAATCGGGGCGATGATCGGAGAGGGCAAGATTCGGGGTATAGCTGTTGTGACGCAACACCTTCGGATTTTCGGACTACGTTTTGTACATGACGATGCTTCACAAGGTTCTTCGGGATCCATGGCCGCAGTCAGCTCGGCGGCTGCATCTGCATACGGAGCCGCACAGGGTCTGTTGTTGATGAGAATAGCATGCGGTTGCGCTTTGCCGCATGCAGTCTGACGGGCTTGTAGAGGCAGGGGTGAAGGGGTGCGACTCTATGAGCGCATACTATGCGTAATGGCGTGACCACTGACGAACTTCCCAGACGCGCATCATTTTCTAGCTGGTAAGTTGCTGTCGCTAGAAAATGTTTCAGGCCCTTCTTCGGTTTCGCAGAGTCAGGGCATACGTGTTATGGCGCGAGATAAGTCATCGTTGGCTCATCTCATCATCACTCAGAGCGTCTGTAGTAGGCGATTGGTGGGGGAGGTTGATGCGGCGGGGCTAAGCAGTCTATCTTATCAGGGAAGCTGCGAGCTGGCGTGCATGGGTGATGGTCCCTTCACCTGCATCTCCCTATTGTGTATGTAAACCTCAGCGCCCCAGCCTAGATTCAGCCTCTGACACATCTTCGCTGGAATATATTTCTACTGCCTCTCCCATATCTCCTGTTTCCTGCGTGTTTCAAACCCCTCAAGATAAGGCTAATCACGTCCTGTGCTACCGGTCTTGCGACTGATCATCCGCCGCCTGCAGTAGACGGCTTGTTTCGTTTAGCGTGTCCCTAGCGACGTCTGTGTGGACATCATAGGTACACCTGCCCACAGGCTATCCCCCTCACACCGCTAGGGTAGTGGTCAACGTCGCAACGAGGCATGAAGCCAACAAGACGATAAGGAACACGCTGCCCCTACCGCGACGCGTTTATACCATACTATTACCTCGCAACATACCCTATCAACATATCATCTGTGCCACGTCCTCGCGCCTTGCCTAAGAGGACTTGACTCCTCTATCGCCACCACCACATCCTACGTCGCTGCCCAACTTAGACTACTACGCCATGGCGGCCATACAGCAACATCGACCGCAGGCCGGCCGACAGGTCTCCTACAACGCACCAGAACCCACCACCGAACCCGCGACGGCATTGTTGCAGCCTGTACGAACCTTGGATCAGTCAGAAGAATGGGTCCTCTTCTCCCCAGGTGCGCCTTCTGCTACCACTCGCACACATACCACCTCGACCGACCGAACGCCACGGACAGCTGGCCTGTCACGCTTCAGCGAGTTTGGCTCACTCGAGACTGCTGCGCAGTCTGAACAAGATGAAGAAGGTGGCTCCTTTCTTGGGACAGAAGAGGAGCTAGACAGCTTAGACGACGGGCTACACGCCTTCCATGAGCCATCTGAATATGGTGCGCCGTTGAGCAGACTACAAAGCAGGCTGCAGGAAAGCGGCGATACTGTACTACCGACCCATGATGGATTGGGCGAGTTCAAGCCCGACGCGACTATGCAGGAACACATGTGGCAGTTTGAGCGACAGCGGCGACGAGCACCCAGACGACGTTCCAGCGTGCAGCGGCACCTTTCCGTCCTCGATGACCACGAGGAGACCAACACAGAGCAGGAGAAGCGACAGCGCATCGAGAGATGGCGACTTGAGCAAAGCAAAGCATTATTGGAAGAGATCGAGAAGGAGACAAGGCGGAGGCGGCGAATGAGCATGGTCAGCAATGGAGCGAGTCGGGCTGATGCGCAAAAGGCGACAACGAGCACAAAACCACACACTGCGCAATCCGTGTCAGATGTGAGCGACTCTTCAGAGGAAGGCACCGAGAATCTCTCCTTCTGGCAACGGATCACGCGACGGGTCATCAGAGATCTTATCGGTCTGGATGAAGACACTCTTTCGGTCATCTTTGGAGAGGCTCTACCTGATGAGGCCGCAACGCCCACACCAGGATCGCCCGCCATCGAGTTCTCAGCAGACAAGGCTCTACAAGACGCAGGCATCGACGCGTCCCGTTTTTCCGATGATACCTGGCAGACAAAGCTGCTCGAAAGAGTAGCCCAGGAACTGGGATCGTTAGTCAATCAGCTTTCTGAGCATCCTGGAGCTTTCTCAACATACCAGCGAACACAATTAACACCAGAATACGCGGGTCTTACACCAGTGATATCCAACACGACAGTCGTATCTGAGCCCCTGTCTTCGATACCGAGTTCACAACCTACCACAACACCTTCCTCCGCTCACTTCGCACCTACCTTCCCCGCGCAAACCGCAAACACCTACAGCGAAGCATCACTATGGGGTATCGAAGAGGAGCCCACCGAAACCGATACTGAAGCAACGGCCTCCTCTCACATCCACAACCCTTCCGTTCCCACCACAACCATCGCTGATGACCTAGCCCGAGAGCGCGAGTACTGGGAACGCGAAATTGACGTAAAGATGATCTTCAATTTTCTCATGAAACGCTTCTCGTCGCGCCGACCCAGCATCTCCTCTTCGCAACCTGTTCTCCCACCCCAACCCATCCGTACCGCTAGCGCCCCTTCTACAGCTACAAACGACAACAATCTTAGTTCCGCCCGCCGAGCAGCCATTATCCGCCAACACCACCCTTTGGTAAATCGGACGACGTCAGATAGTAGACTCCCCACGTCGTCCGCCCCTCACTCGAGGGAGTCGCGTCGCTTCGCTACTTACTACACACCTCCAGCCAGTGGCTTGAAGGACAAGACAAAGCTGAGGAGTAGCTCAAGCTGCGCTAGTCAGAGCACCAAGAAGAGCAAGAGGAGTAGCAATTCACAAAGGAATTACTGGGACCTTGGTGGTAGCGTAGGCAGTGGGAGTGTTGTCGGCTAGGTCGGCATACCTTGAAACTAGAGGGGAAGAAGAGACATGGTTGGACAATTGAACGGTCATCGTCATTTATCACTTTTTGGCATTAGAACGCACAGACGACATTACGCATAGCATGAGCATAGGTTATAGGAGTTGGATGGACGGGATACCGGCTTTGGATAAAGCCACGGCAAGCGCATTTCTACTCTTTCACTTTTGGGCATCAAATCAGAATATCAATATTTAGATGTTTTTCATGACTTTCTTGTATGTATAAATACATTTACTACTTTTCCTACAATATGTCTCTAGTCCCGTCCTCGATGCGATGTCTGCTGTGGATAGGCCGATTGTCGGAGTGGATCATGAGTCGTAAGGTCACATGCCTACTTGGCAAGATAACATGGGACTCTCGCTTTCGAAAGCAGTCCGAAACGGCTCATCTTGGGGTGCTCTGGTTTTATACCGACGATATGCGGAAAAGGATAGCCAAGTATTACGAATTCACGCACCAAAGTCGCGTCATGATGCATTGTCCTTGTCCCGGACCCAGTGTTATCATGTAGCGCATAATCCCGCATCACGGCAGTTGGAATAAAGATTTTGTTGCGTCGATGAAGCGCTCTTGACTGCGCTGAAGGTTTGATTCTCCAGCACAGTCGAACTGGTTCTTGATTGATTTCTCCATTATCCTGCCGACCCCAGCCACCCCCAATTCGCGCTTGTCGCACGAAATATCTCACGTACGTGTTGACAACGTACTGCGGCCCCATTGTTGAAGCTCTTTGTATCTACAGCCTGCCCTAGGCCGTCTCTATATGAAAAGGAAATCTGCAAATGAAACTTTTGGAAGATACAGAACGGGCTGGTATCATGGGGTATAAAAATGCCCTTGGACGCCGTTGAAACACTTGTTGAAAAGGCTCTTTACCCGCCTCCCAAAGATATGCAAATCTTTCTCATTCGCGATCCATGTCGTCGTTAAATCTTGATGTGCGATGAAGTTGATTCATGCGCACTGTATGCAAAAGGCATTAAAATTAGAGCTTGAGCTCCTTGGGCTTCTCCCAGGTGAACTCCTGGTTGGTGAAGTGACCGTTCTTAGCGGTCTGGAAGTAGATGGGGTTGATGAGGTTAAGCTCCTTGACAATGACACCGGGGCGGAGGTCGAAGTTGTTCTTGACAATCTCGACGAGCTCGTCCGAGGACTTATCGGAGGTACCGTATGTCTCAACGAAGAGAGAGAGGGGCTCGGCGACACCGATAGCGTATGACAGCTGTACGAGTGCGCGGCGGGCCAGCTTGGCGTTCACGAGCGACTTGGCGATCCAGCGCGCAAGGTAGGCAGCGGAACGGTCGACCTTGGAGTAGTCCTTTCCGGAGAAAGCACCACCACCGTGGGCACCCCAACCACCGTAGGTGTCAACGATGATCTTACGTCCAGTAAGACCGGCGTCACCCTGGGGACCACCGATGATGAAAAGACCGGAAGGTTGGATCTGGTATCTGTCAGTGTACAGTCGTATTATGTTGTGTTTGTGAAGAACCTACGTGGTAGACGGTCTTGTCATCAAGCATCTTCTCGGGGATGACCTGCTTGATGATCTTCTCCTTGATCTCCTCACGGAGCTTCTCGGTAGTGATGTCCTCGCTGTGCTGGGCAGAGACGACGACGGTGTCAACACGGAGAGGGACGACGGCACCACCATCGTGGGCGTACTCGACAGTGACCTGAGTCTTGGTGTCGGGTCGCAGCCATGGCAGAGTACCATCCTTGCGGGCCTTGGTCATGGCCGAGTTCAGCTTGTGGGAGAGGAGGACGGTCAGAGGAAGGAGCTCGGGAGTCTCGTCGGTGGCATATCCGAACATGATACCCTGGTCACCAGCACCGAGCTTCTCGAGAGCCTCCTCGTAGTGGAGACCCTGAGCAATGTCGGGCGATTGCTGCTCAATAGCAACGAGGACATTGCATGTCTTGTAGTCGAAGCCCTTCTCGGAGGAGTCGTAACCGATGTCCTTGATGGCACCACGAATGATCTTCTGGTAGTCGAGGTGGGCCTTGGTGGTAATCTCACCAAAGACCATGATCATACCGGTCTTGGCTGCGGTCTCGCAAGCAACCTTGGAGAGGGGGTCCTCCTTGAGGCAGGCATCGAGGATGGCGTCCGAGACTTGATCACTGTATTACAGTCAGCGTCCGTGTTCAGCGGTGGAGAAAGTCGCAGTTTCAGGAAGTGGGGGACGCCGTCTATCACATTACGCCGAGCGTATACGTGTCTTATCGCTCAAAGTAAGACGGCCCCCAAGGCAATTGGAGAAGGAAAATAAGAAGATACGAACCAGATTTTGTCTGGGTGTCCTTCGCCGACACTCTCTGAGGTGAAGAGGAATGTGCTCTGAACAATGGTAAGATAAAGTCATGGAGGGGCGCATTGGCAGATGTGGAAAATACCTTGCCGTTTCCGTTGGGGACAGTCATTTTGGCGGTTGATTTCGAAGAGAAGTAGTTTACGACTTTCGACGGCGTTCTTATAGACGGAAGAATGAGTTGGTGAGGAAAGGAGGGGTCGACTTGGGGGAGTGGATGATTTATGCACGTCGCAGAATTGGCGTCTCTCAAATTGCCGAACCCTTCAAAAAAAGCTAAAATCACGCTATTCAAACCCAGGTACCTCCACGGCTGTTAGGCTCTATCAGCCCAGTCAAACCAATCAAACGGCCTCCCCACATCCCACGGACTCCCCCCATCTCACCGCCTCGGGCAGAACCCTTCACTGAATTTGTGTAGCCGAATGACGCGCCGCATCATCTAAGAAACCATCCGCGAACATGTCTAAATATGGAACCCTGGTTATGGTATGTTAATCGCTCTTTCACCGCTATCATCGCAGACTAACAAGATTAGGGGCCAGCTGGTGAGAAATGTTCTTATACGAATTATTCGCGAGACATACATTGACGTACCTCTAAGGCGCTGGCAAATCGACCTTCTGTACGGCCCTCATCCAGCACCTTCAGAACAGCAAACGTCCATGCTTCTACGTGAACCTGGATCCCGCCGCCGAAGAATTCGCATTCGAGCCCGATCTAGATATCAAGGACCTGATCAGCCTGGAAGATGTCATGGAAGAGATGAGCTTGGGGCCCAACGGCGGCCTGATATACTGCTTTGAGTTCCTCATGGAGAACCTCGACTGGCTGACGGACCCGCTTGAGGAGGTTACTGAGGAATACCTCATCGTGTTCGACATGCCGGGCCAGATCGAGTTGTACACCCACGTACCGATATTACCAAACCTGGTGAAGCACCTCATGACGGGTTCACTCAACATACGCATGTGCGCTGCCTACCTCCTCGAAGCGACCTTTGTCATCGACCGACCCAAGTTCTTCTCTGGCACACTCTCCGCCATGAGCGCCATGATGATGCTGGAAATGCCGCACATCAACATACTGAGCAAGATGGATCTGGTGAAGGGACAGATAGCGAAGCGCGACCTCAAACGGTTCGTTGATGTCGATGCAGATTTGATCGAGGATGATCCGGCGCGCAAGAAGACAACACCCGAGGAAGAGAGGAAATACAGAGACCCAGCGTCGACCGAGAGCCTGATGAGCGGATCATCTTTCCACAAGCTGAACAAGGCTGTTGCCGAGCTTATTGATGGGTTCAGCATGGTCTCTTTTCTCAAGCTGGATGTCCAGGACGAGGACAGTCTGGGTGCTGTGCTAAGCTATATCGACGACGCTATTCAGTTCCACGAATCGCAGGAGCCCAAGGAGCCGAAAGACATGGAAGTAGAAGCCGACATGTGAGAAACTATATGAGTGGCTGTGTTTGCATTGAAGGTGTTTTGGCTATGGAAGGCATATTTGGCATTTGAGGGCGTTCACGACTTTGGAAATATCAGGAATGACTTGGATGGGTCATGGACGACACGAGCAGAGATACGATACCCAATACACTCATACATATGACACATCACATCCATCTGTCATGCAACAGGGTACTAATCGGAAAAGGTCCAAGTCTAGAATTCTTTTTTCGTACTCGCATCTCTTCGGAGAAAGAGACTTGCTTATGATCGTGTTACGAACTATACAATGTCGTGTTTCCACGGCCGCTTCATCGTACCGTACAGGTGGTAAGCCGACACAAAGCCTGAAGCTCGGGATTTGACTCTCATCTATGCATTTATATCCGAGTTATGACCTGACTTGGACCACCAGATAGCTGTTCCAGATTCTTCTTGGTCATTGTCCGGCAACTCGAGTTTTGTTCGGAGCCGCACGGCGTTTTCGCCCGAGAAGGGTGGCTGAAGGACGCCACCCATGATCTTGTTCTGCAGCTCACAGGCGTATGTCGTTGCGCATGAGTGCAGTTATCGAACACGCTCCCTTGTACCACGTCAGTTGTTCAATGCCAACTGAGATGTAGCATCCATGGTATTCATGGCTCAGGATATCAACATCTTGAGCTTGTGCCACATATCCTCACCTGCGCCGGCTCCTGTCTCCACTAGCCTGCTGCGCTGCCTGCTGAGCAGCCTCGTGCCCCAGTTCACTGCGTAATGCTTTAAGCTTAGCCTCTACCTCTTCCTTCTTCTTGGCCTCTTTGTCCAACTGCTTCTCTACGTCCTCCATCTTTTGTTTGAAGAAATCTTGTAGTGCCTGCTCTTGTTCCTGACTGAAGGGAACCTCGTCGCCTCCCTTCTCTGGCAGCTGAGCGCTCCGCTCGCCATTGGGCAGGCCGCGCCTAAGTCTTCCGTTTGCGCCCAGCGATGCCTTCTTCGAGCCGCCCTTACCGACAGGTATGAGGTAGTTCCACTGGTCTTCCGATGTGAGGGCGTCAAAGAGGGCTTCGGTGGGCTCGTTGAACTGCACAACTTCGAGGAATTCGGAGCGCACACAACCTGACCGTTCCTGCTCTGCTTGCATTTTGTCGTCACCATACTTTTCCAGCTGCAAGAAGTGTTGTCGGTATTGCGCCTTCTCGCCTGAGATGGGCTGGAAGTGCAGTCTTATATCGATGTTGAAGCCTCCCCATCCTGTCTCGGTAACCTCAAACGGCGGCTTCTCGACCATGCGCAGCGGGTTTTCGTATGTGTTGAAAATCTTGAATGAGACTTTGTTGAGCCATGCTCTGATATCGGGATCGCCGTCAGGTACTCGCACGTATACGGTCCAGCGCTTGGTGTGATCGTCTGGCACGCCCTTGGGGCGGTCGGGGTGGCCTACTGGGGGCAACTGCCAGGCTTCGGAACCGATTACTGCGCAAATGAGTATATATCTAGGCACATGAGCAACGCCATGTCTTACTGAGGTTCCGGCTGATGCGCTTGTTCTGCCCATCATCAGTATGCGCGTACAGCTATATCAAAGCGGTCGACTTGCCTTGACGCGCTTGTTGGAGGCTGGCGCAGGCATTTTGGCGCAGTCGCGTGAATGTATTGCCAACAGGCGCAATGTTAAGCTATACACAAAGAGAATATGTAAAGTGATTCGTGCAAGTGGTGGTGTCGTGTATTTTGTCAAAGGTCAAACTACAACTCGCGCTGGTATGCAGGAACGGAAGCTAACAGCTGATCCTTGTCAGCCCCAGGCTCCACCTTATTTGCTCTGTCCGGTACCACCTCCCTTCGCGTCTCTTGTCCGCTCGTTGTACAACTTGTCTTGCTTCCCAGCATTCGGCTTGCCTTCGATCCTGTCCAACGAGTCTTCAATCAAGCCGATGTGACCGCGTAGTGTTCCTTCAATCTCGTCCATGCGCGCCTCCTGTTCCTCTTCCATGCGGTCCAGTTTCTTCTCCACCCGAGAGCCTGTAGCATCCAGATGTTAGAATTGAAAGATGACGACTTCATGATAGAAGGAAACATGAAAGATGGCGTGATACCTAGATAAGTCGCAACGCCGGCTACTACGGTGAGGTTTGTGCCGACCAGAACGAGGTCGTTCTTGAAAAGGTTCCGGATTGCCTGCATAGTTCGATTGGCGGAGCTTGCTGTTGTCTAGAGAGATGTAAGATGCAATACAGCAGACACAATATCGAATCGCATCTGGCCCTTTGAGGACGGTTACTCGACACTAATATAAAGCATCATGACGACATCGACTTTCTTCTGATAGGTAGAATTGTGAGCGCGATTCGCATTACAACGCCAAAATGCCTTTAACTAGTTCACATTGTATGATACACAGATATATCTCATTGACAATACATGTTTGGTTATGAAGCGGCCCTGTATACAAGAAGCGGAAGTCTATAGCTCCTCCGCACAGATCCCTGCCTCGATCTTACGCGACGCGCGCGATGTGGAGTGACATCAGCACTCGGAGCTTCCCATCACTTTCCTACCAAACAATTGTGTGACTCCAATTGCTCACCCACCAACCATCAGATAGCACAAAAATGGCCTCGACAACAGCCCAGGCTGCAAAGAAGAAACTCGTCGTATGCGGCGGCAATGGCTTCTTGGGTGTGTAACCCAGAAAAACTCCCAGATGATTGGAGTAACAGCTCCATGCCAGCACATCAGTTAGCTAACATGGCACACAGGTAGCCGGATATGTAGAGCCGCAGCACATAGGGGCTGGAGCGTGACCTCAATCTCGTAGGCCTATTCTTTCCCTCTTTCGAATCATCCCGAGCCTTTATTGACAAGATCCCAGGCGTTCAGGCACTCCACATTGGTCCTCCGTCTCTTCATCACAAACACCACCGGACTGGTCAGAAAAGGTGTCATGGCAAAAAGGCGACATCCTCGACCCTGAATCGTATACCAAACACCTCGAAGGCGCAGATGCGGTGATACACAGCATGGGTATATTACTGGAAGCAGACTACAAAGGCGTTGTCAGCGGACGGGAGAGTCCCATCAAGGGTCTGCAACGGGCATTTAGCAAGACCAAGGCTGGAACCCAAAACCCGCTGACACGGAAGGAAGGGGAGAAGTTGCAGCCGCAGGAGAGTGATGGACAACTCACATACGAAATTATGAATCGCGACACTGGTATGTTGCATTTTCTTAAAGTCCATTATCAGTACATACAACTAACCATGCTGCGCAAACAGCCGTATCCCTAGCCAAAGAAGCCTCCACACGCAAAGTTCCGACCTACCTCTATATCTCCGCTGCAGCAGGCACACCCATCCTCCCAGCACGCTATATCACGACGAAACGCGAGGCTGAATCTCTCATCGCCTCCACCTTCCCTACCATGCGATCCATCTTCATTCGCGCGCCATTCATGTACGACAGCAGCCGCACATTCACCCTCCCCATTGCGGCAGCGGGCGGCGTAGCAGCCATGATAAACAGTGCAGTTGGAGGACGGTTGACGTGGCTAATGGGAGCAGGAGGCATCAAGCCTTTGAAAGCGGATTTGGTGGGTGAGGCAGTCGTGGAAGCACTGGAAGATGAGGAGGTCAGAGGGCCGGTCGAGGTACCAGAGATTGAGAAGCTGGGCACGAGAGCGTGGAGGAAGAACATGCTATGAATTTAAACAAGACACTTCGCCAAATGGCGGAACAATTTTTGGTTCTACCACTTCAAAAGCGGCAATCGCATCTATCTACCGTACCGGGAGCAAAGCCCCAGTACTTGTGGTCTACACAGGCGTGCTACAACGAAGCTCTCTTTCTGAGCCAAGCTCAGAGGCTTATAAAACACACCGTAGTGTGCACCTCTACGGCAGTTTGTAATCCAAGATACGACTTGGAAAGAAAGGACTCGAAGCTTTATGAATGACGACCACAATACTGTGGTGACCTGAGTTTGGCTGGGCTTCTCCTCTTCATGCTTCTCCCACCATCGCATACGAGCAAGCGCGTATACTTGTGCGCTGTAGGTGTTCCCCGCAATCGCTGAAAGACTCAAAGGTCGGTTGATATCCAAGCTCACTTCTTACGGCCGCCACCTTGACTAGTCAGCTTCTTCTTCATGTGTTTCGGCATCTTCTCCTTCCTCTTCTCGCGCTTCTCTTCCTTAATGGCCTTCTTATGTGCGACCTTCTCGTCGTGATCCACGTGTTTCTTTCCACGACTTGGGCCCTTTTCGAAGATACTTTGGTCAACCTCAGACGAGCTACCATCATCCGAGCCATCGTCTGAATCCTCGCCTTCAGATTCGTTGTTAACGACCTTGTCAGCAAGGAGGGCTTGGTATGGAAGGTCGGAGCCAGCACCGGCATTGACAAGCTCAGCATCGCGTTCAATATCGTAGACTTGTTCGAGTGTCTGTGGGATGTATTGGTTGCGGAAGACATCGTCGTCTTCCTCTTCCTTCTTCCTTTCCTCCTCGGTCAACGGCTTCTTGTTCAACAAGCTGCGGATGCTGTCTTCCATCTGTGGTTGCTCTTGAACAGTCTTGGCACCTGATTCACTTGTGATGTAGGCATAAGCCTTGCGCTCACTAAGCGTTTCAACATTGCGTGAGCGGAAGAAATCGGATACGTTCTTGATATCCATACGCAGAAACTCGAGAGAGCGGGGATGGTCGTGTTCGACGGCTTGCGAGACATCGATGATCCATTGCTTGCCTTCGTGGTACAGGACGTTGTATTCGCTCAAGTCGGCATGGACGAGGCGACATGTCTGGTACATTATGCGCATGTAGGCCAGCATCTCGAGATAGAGACTGGTCCATTTCGCGTCTTCTTCCTCTGCTGTAAGACCCTCGAAGCGCACATCCTTTAGACGAGGCGCGGCCTTGCCCTTGCGGTCGCCCACAAATCCCATGACAAGAACGTGGTTTCGCAGCGCATGAGCCATTGGTGATGGGATACCTGCATCGTGTATTCTGGCCAGATTCCTGCGCTCCTTGTCTGCCCACATCCGTACCATGGCGCGGTTGTTGCTCTTGTTGTATCCCTGTCTGAAGCGGAACTCGCCTTCGACGTACTTGGCGCGGTCCTTGAAGACGAGGATGGACGTTTTGTATACCTTGACGGCGCGGTGGATGGATTCGGCATCATCGTCCGTAGCTTCTACCATAGCATGGTAGACGTTGGCTTCCTTGCCTGTGGAGATGACACCGTGAATCTCTGAGATTGCGCCGCGGTTTATGAGCTGGAGCAGGATCATCTGAGTCCTTCGGTCCAACACTTGTTCAGTTGTCGCGCGGTCTGCCTTGTCTTTGTTCCTTGCGTTGCCCCCCGACGCGCCCGTCATGTTCCCCGTGAGGCGAATCTTGCCGGCATGCTTTGATAGCGATGCGACTTGATCATCGATGGAGGCATTTGTGTTGGCTGAAGGCTTCTGTGGGTTCGACTTGGGCTTGTGATCGTCTGGTATGTTCGTATCGTTGAGCTTTCGCTGGCGGTTGTATGCTTTGGTGAAGTCGTGGTGGTCGCCCGATATCAGTTCAGGCACTATTTCATCGTCGTCATCAAACAGGTCATCAATTTCGTTATCTTCATCGTTGGTTGTTGTCTCTGCCGGTGCAGATTCTTCGACTTGATCGACCTGGTTCGCTTGCTCGACTTGTTCGGGCTGTTGCGTTGGCAGCTCAACTCCTCCGTCGGTGGTGGCCATGGTTGGTTGTGTGGTATATTCTTTCGACGCAAAAAAAAGTTAGGCAGGGTCTCGTCATGTGAATGATTCACGAATTTGCCCCACGAAGCCCCACGGTTCTGCCCAAGGCGGTGAACTCCATCGAAAGACTAGCCGGTCTCGACGCGCGCTCTTCGTATTCACGCGCGTCTGCGGCGAGACGATTACAACCGGTCCCAACCAAGGGATGTCACAAAACCCCTGAAAATGTGAGGTAACGCATCAACACCGAGCCAAGAATGGCACGTCGCGATCCGACCTGAGGTGATGTCATGCTCGGATGATCGACGCCTACAGGATAAGATAGGAACGCGTATCGCTGCTCATCGCAATCTGGGGACTGTCAGTTTGTTTCCACTTCGAGTGCGCAGCAACACAGCCACAGCGAACAGGCATGTCCAACTCAGCCCAAAGCAAAATAATTAGTGGCTTGTCAGAAGAAACACAGGCCAGGCACATCTTCGCTCTGATAGGCCTAGACGGACTCGCCGTCATAACGGGCAAGGCGGCTGGACTATTCTGACACACCCTAGTCTCCACCGCCGGCTTGTGAAACACTTCAGGAGAGCCATCACGACCACTCAGGTCTGCGCAGCACCAGAATTGGACACACCATGGAAGGGCTGCTGATGCCGCATGGACTCGTCCCATGGTCGTTGTGCTTATCCCGGTGGGTACCGAGATTGCTTCGCAAACCATTTCGCGACTTTTAATAGTCGGAGCTCCTCTGACACGCAGTATTGCTTTGCATTCTCTATCCGACCTTTTTATACCTCACACTCTCTCAGTCAGACGTCTGGACGCCAGGACGACCGCATTCATTACATTCCTTTTCCAACACTCTCTTTGCAGAGCTTTACATTCTTTCATTACTACCGCACCGTACGCATTGTTGACATTGTGTCTTTGCGCGTGAACTCCCCATCACAGTAACGGGCTTTTCTGTGAAGACTACATTCTCTCGAGCTCAAAAGTCTTTCTTTTGCGCATTAGCAACTTGATCCCCAAACTTCTCAAACGCGTCCAAACTCAAGAAAATGCATTTCTCTACTTACACCACCGCGAGCGTGCTGGCTGCTTTGGCCACAGCTCAGACCTTCACCGATTGCAACCCCATGGAGAAGAAGTGCCCCAACGACCCTGCCATGCCTCAGACCTGGGAAACAGACTTCACTGCTGGCAAGGATGCTATCAAGGGTTGGAAGCAGACAGCCGGAACTCTTAACTATGTACCCGAGGGCGCTGAATTTACTGTTGCTAAGAAGGGCGATGCCCCTACCATCGGATCCGAGGCCTACCTTCACTTTGGATACGTCGAAGTTGTCATGAAGGCAGCCCCTGGCGTTGGTATCATCTCCTCCATTGTGCTCCAGTCCGACAACTTGGATGAAGTTGATTGGGAATGGATTGGAGGTGTAGACAGCCGCGTCCAGCAAAACTACTTTGGAAAGGTATGAAAAGAAAGTCAACTGGTTTCATCTTTCGACTAACATGAGAATCAGGGCAACACTACTACATATGATCGCATGATCGAGGCTGATGCTCCCAACAACCAAAACGAGTTCCACAAGTACGCTCTCAACTGGACTGCTGAGTCACTTACCTGGATCGTTGATGACAAGCCCACGCGTACTTTGAACTTTGCTGATGCCAATGGCGGCAAGAACTACCCGCAGACGCCTTGTAATGTGCGCCTTGGAAACTGGCCAGGTGGTGACTCCAAAGATGAAGGTACTCGCCAGTGGGCGGGTGGCAACGTCACTTACGACGATGCGCCCTTTACCATGACCGTCAAGTCGATCAAGGTTATCAACTACTCGCCCGGAAAGGAGTACGAGTGGACAGACAAGACTGGCGACTTTAAGTCTATCAAGGTCATCGATGCCGGTAACACAGAGGGTGCTCCTGTCAACTCTGTAGCTATCGAGGCCTCCGCTACTGCTCCTGCCGCTCCGCTCGAGTCTGGTGTCGACGCACCATCTGCTACTGGCGAGGCTGGAAACGGTTCTAACGCATCCACCACATGCACTGAGAGCGAGCAGTCAGGTGCGACACCTGCCCCAGTTGACGGCGCTGGCGGCGCTGGCGGCAAGTCTGACTTCAACTACCCCACTGGTGGTGCAGCTGTTCCTCAAAAGTCAGGCAGCCCTGACTCTCCCTCCGGCGATTCTCCTTCTGGCAGCGACAATGGAGATGAGCCATGCGAGTGTGGCACTGCCACTGTTACTGTCACTGGTGCTCCTCCTGCTATCACTGACGCACCACCCGCCACTTTCTCGACTGAATACTCTGCCGTCCTCCCTTCGGATGTCGCTTCATCTGTTGCAGAGACACCATTGGCCAGCACTGCTCAGACACCTATCGTCACTTCTGCAGCACCTTCGTCTCCTCCCTACCCAACTGAGTCCGGCATTGAGATTGACACTAGGTCTGCACCTGGTGTCGTCGTACCCTCAGCGCCCACCGGTGCCCTACCCCAGCAATCTGGCAACGCCACTGTCTCTGCACCTCCAGCAGAGTTCACTGGTGCTGCGAGCCACATGAAGGCCAGCGGTCTTGTCGGTGCTGTTGTAGGAGCTGTCTTGTTGGCCTTCTAGAGTCCCTTATAGAGTTTCGATGAGATGAAACGTTAGACTCGCATTGGGATTGTAGTGGGATTATGTTGGTGTAAATACTTTCAAGTGGCCAAGCGTTAGATACGCATGCCGCATTCATGGCGATGAAGAAACATTCTCGTCTTAACTTCTTTGTTCCTCCACTTCTTCATCTTCTTTTTCTTTTCTCACGTAGACAATGCATAGCTATATGGATGGCACAAAACGGTACAAAATAGTACGTAACGTTATATTGATGTCAATGAATGAAAACATCATCTTCAAATATGAAAGTCTCATACATCTGTCAACCCCATTTTGATATCACATTTTTGCCTTCGATCTCTGACTTTGTCTCCAATTCATGGCAGTGCAGAGGAAAGCATGAAAACTTCGCTCCGAGATGATTAAGTGTTCTTCAACTCACTCCACGGCAATCGTTCACTACCACCGCCCCATCCATGACCACTCACGCGCCATTCAAATCTCCCTAACCACTACCACCCTACCCGGTACAAAGAACTCATGCCGCGTTGCAGCATGCGATTCATCACCTATCACTTCCTGTACGTCGCGCCGTTTACTGCTCTTCTGCAGATGACACCATCTCCTCTTCCTAGCTCACCCCTTTGGTTTTGGTATCATGGATGTGGTTCGACAAGGACGAGGAACAACGACTAGCGACGGAATGAAAACGCTACGTAGAAGCTTTGTTCTGACGACCATGATACATGCACAGCATTTGCAGAAGGGGACTTTGTACCATGCACAGGTTTGTTCATGTCCTGACTCTGTTTCTTCGTGCGAAGTTTCGTGAGAGATCTCATGCTCATCCTCAGCGACGTACTTGGCTAGACGCGCAGGTGGCGACTGCGGTATTTGTGCTGGTATCCGCGCTGCTTGCTTCACCGGCTTGTCCTGGTCTGCTTGTTTGCGCTGCTTGGCTCGTTTCTCATGCTTTGCCCGTCGTTTCCGTCGTTCCTTGTCGTCCTGCTTGTCCCAAATATCCCTCCTACCCCATCTTGTTCGTCGACGCATTCCCTCAAGTAACGAACCGGGGATGCAATGTAGATGTGCCGGGCGATTATAGGGGTTGATGGGAGCATCTGGTGTGCTGAACGGTGTTGGCGTGACGGGCAGCAGGTAGGAGAATTCAGTATCTGGGCGACATGTTGGAGGTGACGTGGCAGTGTTGCGGCCTGAAAAACGGGCTTCGTGGTATAGCCTTGACTGGTTTGTGGCAGGGTGAGTTTGGTGTTGGATTTTCGGGGAGGCGGATGGTGATATAGTCTCAGCTTTGTGCGCTCCTGCAGGAATGTGGCGTCCAGACAATAGATCTGCTTCCTCCTTGAACTTCACGACCGATCGTGGTGAAGGCGAACACAAATTGCAAGAGGCCTTAGTGGGCGGCTTCTTCGTGTGTATGCCAGCAGATCGATCACAATCATGGCATAGAAGCGGTATGCCATCCTCACTTCCCAAAAGTTCATCGCTCTCTCTTCTGACTATCATACAGCGGTAAAACTCCCGAGCAAGTGGAGTTGGCACACGGAGTGGCGATCGGGACCATGCCTCTTGAAATTCGGAGAAGGAAGGGAAGCGTCGCGGTGTTTCGATATTGACTATCACTGGTACTACATCTTCTTCAGCATCTTCTTCGACCTTGACTTTGACTGGAGTTCGAGATGGCGATCTCACACGGAAAGTCTGGCGTCGTGGTATCTCAAGACTGGCTGCAATTGGAGCACCATCTTCAGTCTTGATGCGGATTGGTATACGTGAGGGTGTTCCTTGGTGTTGCATTATGCCGCTCCTTAACTCCGGTCTCTAGATCGAGTGCTCGCGACTTTCCTGAAAGTATTAGAAATGGAGAACGGAATTTGGCGTATGATACAGATTCCAGACCACGAAGGCTTGATGGACCAGTGAGAATACAATTTTCTGTATGCGCGCTTGAATAGTGACCGAGCGGCGATAAAGCTTGAGGAGTGCTTCAGTTGCAGCTGGCTCCGTAAGGTTGAAAAGCCTCTGGGTTTTTTTTGTTCATCTACTGGACATGGTGTGTACGTGCACGAATGATACACGGTACTGAGTGGAGTTCTGTGTTCAGAGTCCAATCAAGTCTCTGTAGATTTGAGAACCTGTCATCTCCCGGTATTGCGCACACCGATATGGTTGATCGATCAACTCTGGCTGAAATTATAGACACGTGAACAATGTGATTAAGACGCTGTGACAGCGCAAAAGATGAGGGTTTAACGTGGTCGCGAACCTGCTTTCGATATACATAGTACGATACAGTTACCCATCAACCAGCCATTGACACTGACAGTGAGCAGCGCGCACCTCTTGTCGTTGCGCTCGATCTCCGGTACGTTTTGTGGATCGTGACATGGAGGCTGCAACATTACCGTGAGAGTCTTCCAGGCGCAACGCTATCTCTTCTGAGAGTGGAGCCAGGGTGCCGTCCGATCCCATAGTCACCTTCTGACAATAAGGCGTCTTGCCACCTGGCGCCCACTCTTCAAATAATCTTACGGAGTAAGGGAAGTCCGAAAGTCCTGCAGTCTTAGTTTTGGCAGTATCCGGTGCAGTGCCTGTCACTCTAGTGACGTATATGTAACCTTCAAGCAGGGTCTCGTTGAAGACGCACTGCCACAGGTTACTCCCAGGCTGGAACGGATCACCTAGCGCTGAAGGATGGGCTTGTAGCTCCCCATCGACGGGGAACTCATCCTCCGCGAGCAACACGACTTTGTCGTAGGTAGTTCGAAAATGATAGGTAGAACCATCTTCGTTCCTGGCACCTGCAACGACTGACAATTCCAAGGGCGGGATATTCGGTATGCCTTCGCCGTGGCGAACGCTAGTGTCGTTGGATGGTGACCCTACCGCTATCATAGTTGAAGTATCGTTGCCTGCCGGGGCAGGTAGTACACTGAGTTGAAAGGTTGAGTTGGATGCGCACTTCCACGGATTCAACTGATTGTCGCTTGCTAGGCATGCCGAATCCTGTTGTTGTGGAAGTTGAATCGGTAGCGCAAAAATTCCACGGCGAATACCGCTGGTGTAGTTGTCCCTTGGAGAGCCGTCACTCGCAGTGTATACAGCAGCGCTTTGATCCCTATAGATACGCCGTTAGCGGCATCCTAAAACTGGGCATTGGAGCAATTACCTGATTGGAGATCGATCTTTTACAGCTAAAAGACTCAACCCGATCGTAAGAAGCATCAGGAATTGTATCGCCAAGAGGGCCAGAATGCGTTGCTGTCGAGACATTCGATGCCACATGCATCTTGGAAGATTGGGCAGAGGCTTTTCATGCGCATCAATCGCGTTACATGACGGCACAAAAACCTCTTTTTCATTTTGATCTGGGCTGAGTATGGGGGCGGAAAGAATGTTGCTCCTCTCGAACGGAACAATCTCAATTCCATCCTCGATCTTCTTGAGAAGGCATGTTCCAGAGTTAACTCCAGGTGTGTCTGTGGACTGAGAGCTATCGTAATTGGATGGAAAAGTTGTATAGATACTCGGAAGTGGTTGAATGCTGTTGATAGACCGGTGAGGCAGCCGCATGAATGCAACGAAGAGATTTTGGGTTGATATTAATAGAGGGTATCCACGTTGTCGGACCAGCCAGACACTCAGAATAGTAAAAAGCGAATGATGGAACAAAGAGCGGACGAAAATAACAACTTGTACATACCCAAACTTCAGCTCGACATAGAACATATAAAGCTTCGTCCCTAGACCCTCAAGCTGTTGAGCTCAATGTGCCGAGCTTGCATATCGCTTTGACTACGCCGTACTCATACCAAAGGTCGACATCCAATCGCAGGTCTATTACATCCAAGGATGATTGGTTGCCGGTGCATCCTTGCTATAAAATTAAGGACGGATTGAGTAAAGAGGCTGAAAGTGTATTCGACGTCGATTTTGGGCATTGGCTCTGCGCTCCCCATAAGGGCTGTAGGTGGGCCGTGCAATAGCCGCCCATATTCACACGGGTCGTTAAAACGGCTATCACGTCTGTAAAGTCAAGCTCTATTCCGAATACGAACGGCTGCCGCGATAAAGCGGAATCATGAAAAGTAGAATGGCTTCTGCGCTATCTGCAAGCATGGCGCCTGTGGACGATTTTGCATTTAAAGCATCGTCAGCATGTTCCGCGCGATAATGGTCCGTTCCAATACAGACCCTACGCGTGGAATCCCGGCCTGTATGTTCGCTTGAACAAGCAGCAGGAAACGTTGTACTGCGCGTTTGTGTGTGTGTGACCACGCGCGAGGGCGTGTGTGTATGTGACGGGTAGCCGCTGCCCAGACGTGACATAGGTCGCGTCGAGGGTCCCGAACAGAGCTACGTTATCAACCTGCATCTGTTTCGCTGTCTTGCGATATGGCGCTAAGTTTGAATAATTGCAACGCGAACTTGAGCTTGTAGTTTGTCGGCTTCTGCCATGGGATGCAAAGTACGGGGACGCGTTCTGGTAAATTATGTGGGTGGTTGGGTTAGCGCTCCCGAGCGGGCAGGATCGACCCGAAGCGCGACAGGACCCGGCCATCGTCCTCATGAGCATCCAATGACATCCTATGTGTCCACTCTCCAGCTTTCTTGAGTGAGGAAGAAAACATGGTCAAATTGCGCGACTGCGTTGCCTTCCCTGAGGCGCAACGATTCCAGCCCTGCTTTTATCAGAAGTTGTTCAAACCCCAGAGTGGACGCGGAACCCGTCAGGTTTCGTAAAAATTGCCCTGTTTCGAAACAAGAAACAATGCACCAGCGTCATCTCACCATTGTTTCGAAGACAGGCAATCTTCAGGATCTTATACTAGATTGTGCATTTCTATTGCTTTGATACAGCTGACGTACATGGTAACCCTGGCGTCAATCGATGAGATTCTAAACATGCCAAGCTGAACAGTTAGGAGTCTAGGCATCAAAATGTCCACATGCTTGCTGACGATACCATGCTTTCTGCTAATATTAGGACATATGAGAGAAGTAGCTTGCCTGAAGCGTCCAAGGCTGTGCGGCAACTAAGCTTGAGTGGTGCTGATCTCATCAATCAGCCCCGAGTGTGTGCCACCATGACGGGAGAAAAGGCTCAGCCCCAGATGTGAAGCGTATAACACCTGACGATGAACCGTGGGGAAACGTGTTTGTCGTTCACTCTCGATCGATATACCAAATTATAACAAACAATTCGACAAGTATGGGCATATTCCAACGATCTTCTCGCGCAGCGCCCACATCTCAGGCATCGGTGGCTAGACAACATGGTATCCATTGGCCACTTTTCGCTTCCAGCGCCTTGCTCGCCGCTCTTTCAATCGTCATTTTCAGTTTGGTCAGTTCCATGGTAGCATGGCTGCTGGACCAGAAGCATCATGTGCACACATATCAAGTGGACTGGCCTGGAAATCCCACCCAAATCAATGTTGAGCCCAAGAATATGTGGACCGACCAAGGGCATGAAAGCAACGGCCTAGCAGTGTATGGATTCTTCCTGGGCATCTTTGGCATGTTGACGGCATGGAAGATGAGGAAGGCTGACCAGGTATGTCGAATGAAACTCTTCTCACCTACTCGGACAGCATGCTGATCGTTGTAAGCAGGCCCCAAGAAGCCTTACCGCTCTCACCACCTTGCTGCTGATCGGTACCGTGTTCAGCATATCAGCCTTCATCTTCGTCTTCGTAGTCACATACCAGACGACTGGCCAGCGGATTCGCGAGCCCATCGCCATCAACGCAGTCGGCCTCAACTACCCGGCTGAGAAATGGACACCTGAGACGTGGTTCAGGGCTATCCTCGATCTTCCCTTAGCCGATGGAGCGCAACACGCTCAAATCAAAAGCAGGGTTAAAAACATGGAAGCGTGGCGATGGATTTTGCTTCCTCTTTTACTTGTGTATATAACTGCATCGTACGTTGTAGTAACGACTTGGCTACGGCAGCGGAGGAATACGACAGTACGGGCAGGCTCTGCTGGTTCTGTAGAGAAGACAGGAGCTCGATGAATAACTACATGGGTTGATTGCACATGGCGGTGTCACACTCCAATTTTAGCGAGTTAGCAAGGCAGGTGCGAACCTCGGCGCGTGACAAAAAAGTCCCCCACCAAGCTTCAACTCGCTTCAACACACACGAACACAACTGCACCTACACCTACACCTTCACGTACGCGCGCCCTCTCCTTCTCTCTCTGACAAGAGGCTCCGCCATGGGTTGGCTCACCTACCTCGCCATGCCCGCCGTGCTTGTCATAGCCATGCGCCTGCTCTCGCTCGTGCTGCCCGCGAAACCCGCCCAGCTGGTGTCGTACTACGCCTTCGCAATAAGCTCCTTTACACTCATGTTGAGCTGCGCCCTGTACGGCACACTTGTGGCTATACCTCTACGCATGGTGGGCTATGGTGGACTCATTCAATGGACGGTTGCGCGAGCGTTCAAGTGGTGCATGTGGTTGGCCACTGGCGTGACGTTTCGAGTGACCGGGAGCATGAAGAAAGAGGGAGGTCTTAGTGGAGAAGACGCCCTCAAGGACCGTCCAGCAGTATTCGTTGGCAATCATCAGACGTGGGTTTCCAAGGCTCTCTTGCCAGGCCAAGCCTCGACCGCGGTGCTGACATTTTTTTTTATAGCGAACTCGATGTCCTCATGCTCGGCTGCATGTTCCCAAAATACACCTCCGTGACGGCCAAGAAGTCGCTCAAGTTTGTGCCTCTACTGGGCTGGTTCATGGCGCTCTCCAAAACCGTCTTTATCGACCGCGCAAACCGCACCTCGTCTCGCGCTGCATTCGACACGGCTGCTCACACGATGAAAACAACACGCCAGAACGTCTTCATCTTCCCTGAAGGCACGCGATCATATGCCTCAAAACCTGATCTCCTACCCTTCAAGAAGGGCGCGTTCCATCTTGCAGTACAAGCACAAGTTCCCATTGTGCCCGTCGTTTGTGGTAACTACTACCACGTTCTGGACGTCAAGGGCAAGAGATTCTCCCCAGGTGTGGTGGATGTTACCGTCTTACCGCCAATACAAACGAAGGGTTTGACGGCAGAGCACGTAGATGGCCTGGTCAAAAAGACAAGAGATGCCATGATGGACGAGCTGATTCGATTGAGTCACGTCTCAGGTGTGGGAAATGGCGAGCCGCTCCCGAGATCCAGTGGAGTCGATGGACAGGAGCGTAGTGAGCTAAGGAAACGGAATTAGCATTTGCACACTTGGCGCAAACGGCGTTGGGTGATGCTTGATATACACATTGATATCCCAAAGACGATGATGTCGGACTGAGTGACACGTACATAATCTTATTTTGAGTAAACGAAAAGCGATTCTAGTCCAACATAATGCGACAGCATGTTTTCCAGAAGCTCGTTGCCTCATCTCGTTAGCACGATGACTTGAAATCTGGCAAGTAACACCAATACAAAAACGTTTATATTCTCAAAGTTGCACAGGTAATGCACTGGAACAGTAGCCAAGTTTTTCGTTACACCAGTAGTTTTGTAGCACGACGAAAATCTCTAGGACAGACCGCGTATGTAAGATATAACCAAATGGATACGAGCTTCATGGGAGTGCAGAAGGGTTGAAGCTCGGCAAACTTTCCCCGCATACAGGAATGCTCGGAGTGAGCTACCCCACGGCTACCCCTCCTATTACCCAATGAGGCATTCCGTTCTGGCTAGACGCGTGAATGTAGGACATCGTGTACTTGCATATTAGCACATATAAATCTGCTCTAGCGGCCACTCAACTATTGCCCTGTTGTGATCATCCATCTAAGCAAAGTCAAGAGCAAGATTCGAGAAAGCCATGGCAGCAAGACAACCGGGTTTAGTCAACGAGACAAGAGTCGGACAGGCGTTCAGTGTCAAAGGACAAAGTGCTATAATCACAGGAGCTGGTTCAGGTATTAACTTCTCTTTTGCAGCTCTGCTTCTCAGCCATGGCTGCTCTGTCCTCATTGCCGATCTTTCACTTCGACCTGAAGCGGAGAAGTTGGTTCAAGAATACAGTGCCAAAGAACAGGATAAACCACGAGCTGTCTTTCAGAAGACCGATGTGACGGACTGGCCGCAGTTGAAGCGCATGTTTGAGGTCGGCGTCCAAGAGTTCGGAAAGATCGATATCGTGTGTCCAGGGGCAGGCGTCTACGAACCCCATTGGAGTAACTTCTGGCATCCTCCAGGCGTCGCCGGCAGCGCAAGTAGAGACCAGGTCGACGGAGGACGATATGCAAGTATCGACATCAATATTACCCACCCGATCCGTACGACGCAGCTCGCGATCTCACACTTTCTTAACCCACCTCCCGGCGTAGAGAAAGTGAGTGCGCAAAATCCAAAGAGAGTCGTCATCATCTCCAGCATTGCTGGCCAAAATCCCAATTTGCATGCGCCCATCTACACGGCCGCTAAGCACGCCATGAACGGCTTTGTACGCTCCTTGGGAACGCTCGAGGCAGAAATGGGAATTCGCGTCAACGGCGTGGCACCTGGCGTCATCAAAACACCCCTGTGGACCGAACATCCAGAAAAAATGACGTTCATCGATGAGACCAAGGACGCGTGGGCAACGCCCGAGGAAGTGGCCGAAGCCATGTTGCGATTGTTAGAAGCAACTGAGCTGGGCGGAGGCAAGATCCTTGAGGTAGGCGCGAAGCAGACGAGGCTAGTAGAGGCATTCGTACGTATTCACTGACCGTGTTGAATTGTGTATGTATGCTAACAGTTGGTGATATAGAATGATCCGGGACCGAGTGGAGCAGGGCATACAGTTAGCAATCTTCATGAGCAGTATAGCGAGGTGTATGGGTGGCTGCAGCAAGATGGATGGGGTGGGGGGATTGGCAAGTCGAAGTTGTAATGTTCGACTGTTATCGTAGTATGAAGAAATTGCCTCATCCACAGTATGCTACCAAGACCATCGTGATAGGTCCAACATGGCTCGAGCGCGGAAGTCAGAAGAAGAGGATCGTTTTCTCCGGATCGGACTTTTGGCCGAACCTGCCCTGGAGGCATTCGCGGGAATTTGCAGCCCGCGGCTAAAAAACATACGATACAGTGAATGCCTTTGCTCCGGTGTGCTGTAGAGTGTTGGCTAGAACTCAGGACAAACAAGCTTCTTCGTAATGATGAATTGCACGTGGATGGCTCGGACGACAGTGCTCCGATGCGCCAAAATTTCCGTCGCTAGTGGTTACCAGATGCGGTGAGAGGGCTGACTGAGCGAGCGCCTTCTGCCGTGATTGCCACTTGGTGACCCAGTGTGACGCTGTTTTTCCATGGAGGGGCCCGGAAGGATGAGGGGCGCTACGTATGAAAGAGCCCCACCGCTGCAGCTGTCCCAACAGACACTTTTACTCTCCAACCTCATACCACTTCATAAGACACTCACATCACCTGTAACATCAAGTGCACACATAGACACTTGCATTCCTCTTTACATTCCCCATCCACATACATATACCCACCCACAATGCCTAGCTCCCTCGACCAACTCAAGGCCTCTGGCACCGTAAGTATTTCCACAATCGCAACACCAGGCGCGCGGAAGAATTATATCTAACCAATTCGCCCTACAGACCGTCGTCGCCGACTCTGGTGACTTCGCTACCATCAAGAAGTACCAGCCCCAGGATGCGACCACCAACCCCTCGTTGATTCTCGCCGCGTCTAAGAAGCCCGAGTACGAGAAGCTCATCGACGCGGCCGTCGCATACGGCAAGAAGAACGGCACAGACCTCGAGAACCAGGTCGACACCACACTTGACAACCTGCTGGTACAGTTTGGCAAGGAGATCCTCCAGATTGTCCCCGGCAAGGTCTCAACAGAAGTTGATGCGCGCTTCTCTTTCTCCACAGAGCAGTCTGTAAACAAGGCGCTGCACATCATCGATCTCTACAAGGAGATTGGCATTGACAAGGAGCGCGTCCTCATCAAGCTCGCATCCACATGGGAGGGTATCAAGGCTGCTGAGATCCTGCAGTCCAAGCACGGCATCAACTGCAACTTGACCCTCATGTTCTCACAAGTCCAGGCCATCGCCGCCGCCGAGGCCGGTGCCTACCTCATCTCTCCCTTCGTTGGCCGCATCCTTGACTGGTACAAGGCCGCACACAAGAAGGAGTACAAGAAGGAGGAGGACCCCGGTGTCAAGTCCGTCGTGCAAATCTTCAACTACTACAAGAAGCACGGCTACAAGACCATTGTCATGGGCGCGTCTTTCCGTAGCGTCGGTGAGGTCACCGAGCTGGCTGGTTGCGACTACCTGACCATTGCTGTAAGTTTCGCTGATAAATTGTTCTCTTACACATTTGACTAACGGAACCAGCCCAACCTACTTGAGGAGCTTTACAACTCACAAGAAGACGTCCCCAAGAAGCTCGTCGCCGAGGATGCTAGCAAGCTCGACCTTGAGAAGAAGACCTACATCAACGACGAGGCTGAGTTCCGCTTCTACTTCAACGAGGACCAGATGGCCGTCGAGAAGCTCCGTGAGGGTATCTCGAAATTCGCTGCTGATGCCATCACCCTCAAGGATATCCTCCGCAAGAAGATCCAGGCCGCATAAATTGCTTAGTCCGATAACGGCCGTGCAATGAGCATCTGAAGACTCTTAAGGCTTTCATAAATAGATAGTAAAATTGATATCAGATGTAAAATGACAAGCTAGCCCCTGTGAAACCATGAGTGTAAACATTACTCAAGATTACACGTGAATGTATGCGGAACCACGTCAAGTCGTGGGCATGGTAGGTATTAATCATTCGTCGGTTCTGGCCCGGCATTAGTGGAGTTGCGTCACTACATTTGGACAGCCCCGCATTCGGCTTTCAAAGCTCACCGAGAGACAGCTGTCTGATAGCTTCTCTCTTCCTCTCCATCAACGCCTACACAATCACAATCCCGAAACACACATCAATACCATCAATACCATCAATACAAATCACATAACCGTCAAAATGGTCAAAGCCGGTACGTCTATGTTCAGTAGCTGCACAAGCTTTCCCCATTGTGGCATGGTGGGGTCGTCGGGGTGCGTAAGATTGAGCAGATTAACTCGACGACGCGGTACTCAGCGGTATCAAAACGCTGCAAAGAGGTCAATTGGACAGCTTTGGGGCCTTTATGAGGACCCTGCTGTCATTCCCGCAGCGTGGACCATTCTTGGGTCTTCCGGGGGTCTCCAATCAGCTCTCTTTGCACGAGACACCTTGATGGCCTTCTACTACATGCTCAGACACACCTACGTTACAGAAGCTTAAAAACAACGTTATACTAACGTAAGATTACAGTCGCCGTCCTCCGTGGAGACTCCAACATCAAGGGTACCGTCACCTTTGAGCAGGCCGACGAGTCTTCCAACACCACCATCTCATGGAACATCACCGGCCACGACGCCAACGCTGAGCGTGGCATGCACGTCCACGCCTTTGGCGACAACACAAACGGTTGCACATCCGCCGGTCCCCACTTCAACCCCCACAACAAGACACACGGTGCCCCCGAGGACGAGGAGCGCCACGTCGGTGACTTGGGCAACTTCAAGACTGATGGTCAGGGTAATGCGCAGGGAAGTGTCACAGACAAGTTGATCAAGTTGATCGGCTCCGAGAGCGTCATTGGCCGTACCATTGTCGTCCACGCTGGAACCGACGACCTCGGCAAGGGCGGACACGAGGAGTCGAAGAAGACTGGTAACGCTGGCGCTCGTCCCGCTTGCGGTGTTATTGGCATCTCCAACTAGATGTATCATTAAAAAAAATTTAGCGAGCGAGTAGTCTTAGGATAGCCAAATCAATCTATCTATACCTCTCACAACATATATACAGTACACATGTGGTAGTCGTGCTGTTAACATATGAGATTTCATTTATTTGTTGCCTATTTAGACTGGCTATTCGCCCTGACCACAATCATGTCCCCGCAGCTGCATCAACTCGCTTTGTTGGAGATGACCGAATCTCATGTGATTGAGCGCAGCTAGCAGCATACGTGGGCGATTGCAGTGAGGGTAGGAATGTTGATAAGAGTGTTGTACCAATGTCCAGACACTAGAGCGATAGAGAACAAGACCAGAGCCAAACTCCACGCCAATGCAGAAGGGTATCGATGCTTACAGTCGAGAGGGAATGCGCGCCCCCAAGCGCCCACAGTCGCATGTTACGCTAGAGCTCAGAGCTTTCTTCTGTAGGCTCGAAGGAACTCCCGGCAATCACGGTAACGATTCTTCTTGTGTTCCAGTAGCTGTTGGCGTATCCGTTGTTTGTCGAGCTCCAGCTCGCGGCGAACTCTTTCTGGTTCATAAAGTTCCTGCTTTTGGTGAACTCTTCTTTGTTCGGCTTCCCGCTCTCGACGAACGCTCTCATTCCGTATATACTGGGAACAGAATTCTTTCCCATAACAGTGGAGTCCGACATGCAGAAGAAGTGGACTACTGTAGTGATCAAGGTCAGTACGAAATTAGAGGTATGTGAATACCACTTAGCGAAATATTAGAAAGAGGTATAAGCCACCGCCCCCGTCCTAGCGAGCACTAGAACAGAACAGGGGGAGCGGGAAAGTTATTACATGTTGACGACACGAGTATCGTCCTTGAGAAATTCACGGCGAAACCTCGCAATTTCCGCGGCAATACCGTTGGGATCCTTGATGTTCCTCTGGCGAAGGTCTTTGAGCACGCCACGGAGACCGTCATTCCAGCGTTGCTTCTCCTCGGACGTCTTACCGGGGTTGGCGGTTCCGAGCTGAACAAGCAGTCTGTCACCTATTGAAGATACAAGTTAGTATTTGCGCATATGTACAGTCGGGAAAACTGTAGTAGTAAAAAAAAAACGAAACTCTGAAATAAAGGAAAAAACTCCTCTACAACGCACCAGTAATGGCAACCTCCCTGAAGTGCTGATCAGGACATTCAGGGTCGTTGCATACGCCACCAGTTGACTCGTACTGGCAGAGAGGCTTCTCTGGGTTTATCTGATGACTGAAAGTCAAGGATAGGAAGCCACCTTGCACATCTTGAGCATAAGAAGGATGGTAACGGTAAGATTTGAACATCCGTAGCGGGCTCTCGTACGGAGTGAACTTGGGTGGCTGTGGTTCTTCGATCTCAGCGGGCACAGGCACCTGATCTAGATTAGCTAAGCCTCCCAAATGGTGATTGACGTACAGGTTCGCCAGCGGCCACCGTCGATGTTACCTCTCGAAGTGGTTGCAGCTCGGGCGCTAGATCATCGGCCATTTCGGCGTCCTGATGCGACGGGTTCTTTGCTGATATAGTCTCCACGTCGGGCTCTGGAGTAGATTCATCATCTGATTCGCTGTCATCTGAGCTTTCATCAGACGACGACGTAGCAATGTCCATGGCACCATCTTCCGCTTCAGCCTGACCCGTGGGGGCGTCGAGGTGTGTGGAGGCATCATCGCCGCCCTGAACCTCCGAGACATCTTCGTCGACGTCGGGCGGTTCATAGGCTTCTTCCTCTTGTGTACCAGCTGGCGAAGTTGCAAGCGAGAACTCAGGTTTGGTCTGGGCCTCAACTTCCTCTGCCACAGGGGCTTCTGGGACGACGACGGGTTCTTCGGGCTCATATTCCGGTTCGTACTCTTCCTCGTCATCATCTCCCTCACTAACGGACATGTCGACCTCCTCTCCTTCTTCCGATGGCGAGGGCGCGGTGGTGGGCTGCTGAATCGCTTGGTCCACAGGAGCGTTGGTATTGGCCTGCACTACCTCATTCGCTGTGGCTGGAACAACATGGACATTGGCTGGCAAATCTTGCGATTCAGTGCGCTTCTGAGATGCTTCCGAGTAGACGTGGTTTTGTTGAGACAACACCTGCGATGCACCAGCTGGCTGAAGAGTGATGTCTTCCCGCGAAATCTTCTCTGAGACTTGGGTGTGACCCAGATCATCTGGTCCAGTTGAGACATCAGGCTCCGCTGAATTTTGCCCAAGTCCAGGGAAGGTGTTCTGAGGAAGATTCCAAGCTGGAGGAGAGTTGTCGATTGTGGCCTGCACCACAGGACGAGTTTGTTGAAGTGATTCATTAGAATCTGAAGATTGTTCGCCCTCAATTTCATCTTTCTTGGCACGTAGTTGTGCATGAGACATGCCCTCGGTGTCGACACCGAGATCCTCCAGCTCTTTGCTCAGCTGTTCCTTGTCCCTTGCGATCTTCTCGTTCTGCGCCGTCAGCTGCTCCAGCTCTTTGGTCAGTTGAGCCATCCTACTCGCGTTGCTTGCAATCTCGGCATCCAATGTAGGCAGTCTGGATTCAATCTCCGCTCGGCGCATTCGGCGCGAGTCGTTGCCATCGTGCGAACGTGTCGGTAACGATGTGGAAGTCTGAAGTGATGAACCTGGCGTCGAAGGTTTTTGGCTCGAGGATGGTGATGCGACAGTGGTAGTAGCTGCTGCCAACCTATCTCGCTCCCGCTTTTCAGCAAGTTTCCTCTTGAGTGTCTCTCGCATGGCCACCAGCTGCTTCTCCTTATCTACCAACTCCTTCTCACGCATAACCGTATTGGGGGTCTGCGAACCAGACGTACCAACAGTGGCGTTTGATGGGGTCGCAGGTGGCGCACCAGAAGGAAAGTTGGGGAGATTTCCAACAGTCTGGCGCGAATTCTGGCTGGCTTGGAGAGAAGGTTGATCGTCGTCGATGTCCATGTCGCTACCGTTGGACTCGTCTTCGCTGACGTCTATTATCATTGAATCATCTTCTTGATCAGCGTGTGGAGACTGGCCTAGAGGCCGTGTGTGAGGAGTGATAACGGGTGGGAAGGAGGACTGTGGTTGAGATGCGGCAGGTGCAGGTGTATTAGACGTCGAAGATGCGCTCATGAAGAGACCCGGGATGGCAGAGAATGATGGCACGTAGGCGGTACTTGTAGGTGTTTGCGACCCTGGGGTAACTGGCGCAACTGGCGCAACCGACGGCTTCTGTCTCGCCTTGATCGCTTCCAAGCGCTGCTTAATCAACTCGGTATTACGGGCTCTCTGTTCGTCTGTCACAGGCGGTTTGGAAGTAGGTGGGGTCGCAGGCTGGGATGTCTTGGTAGCCGGCGCGGGAGTAGTGGTTTTGGTGGTGGCCTGTTTCGCTGCCTTTGCGGCCTGAAGGCGTGCTATGTAATCTTGACGGCCTACTGGCGACGCGGCAGACTTGGGGGTGTCTTGCGTAACAGGCGTTAGTGGCTGCACAGCAGGAGCCTTGGAAACAGCATCATTGCTCTTAGGTGGCAGAATGGGCGCAGGTTCCGACGGCAGGTTTGCGCTCTGGTACAGGCCTCTCAGCAGCTCGGGATCAAGCTGTTCGTGAGCTAGGGCGCGATAGGTGACATTGTTGCTATGCAAGAGCTTGATGAAGTGTTTGGCCGCGTCGCGATCCTGCTGTAGCTTGTCCATGATGGTGGGTGGACTGTCGCCTCCGCCCTCACTCAACTCGCCATCTTCGCGATCGCTATCCATGACCTCTTGTATCCGCTCTGGGGGTGGAGGTAGTGAGGGCGGCGGAGGCAGCAAAGATGGCGGAGGGAAGTGAGATGGGGGGAAAGCCATGTTGGGGAATGGCGGCGGCGGCGGAAGGTTGGGAGCACCTGGCGGGAAAGAGCCATTCTGGAACAGGGCCCAGAGGGCAGGATCGGGAGGAGGGAAGGCGGGGAACGGAGGCTGTTGGCCATTTGGCGCATACGGAGCGAGGTTTATGCCCGGGAGCTGTTGCATCGGCGGGGGATGCGCGTAGTTGTTCGCCATGACGCGCGATGGAGAAAGTGGGTGGTTCACGAGATAATATCGCGAATCGCGACAGAGCTGCCCGGGCTAATGCAGGCGGCACGTGATAGCGCACCGCAGCCAATCACGTCATGTGTGGCTGTTGCTAGGGGCCGCGGGCGGCTGTCATTGTTTACGTGCAGCGAGTCTGTACCAGGAAACCATCCATAGGGTTTCTTTTGCACCTGCCTGCACCCGCGTCCCCGCATACCACTGTACATACAATGTCAATAGACTAGGCCCAAATGAACCATTCGGATACGACAACATCACCACCCCGGACAGGACGACACCAACATCACCCACCACCATGAGTGCGCCCGGGCCCGCGCCAAATGGCCGCCCCTTCGCCCGCAACTCGCGCAACACTCCCTTTGCCAGGAACACATCGCAGATGGTTTCATCGCCGCTGAATGAGAACGGAGACTCTGGCATGCCAGGCCACCTGCGCAACCGCTCCCTCACAAACCTCACCAGCCCGACCGGGCTGGGCCGCAGCGAATCGCGCCTCCGCTCCAACTCGCACCGCAACAGCACCCCCGTCGGCACCTTTGCCCCGCAGTTCATCTCGGAAGAGGAGAACGAGGCCCCGCGTCTGGGCGGCATTGTAGAGGGCGAGAACGACTTCTCTGGCAAGCGCTATGTCTGGCTCAGAGACCCCACCACCGCCTTCGTCCGCGGATGGGTCGTCGAGGCCCTGCCAGGAGGACGAATTCTAGTCCAATGCGACAATGGCACCCAGCAAGACGTCGAAGCCGATGCCATCGACAAGGTCAATCCCGCCAAATTCGACAAGGCCGACGACATGGCTGAACTTACGCATTTGAACGAGCCCTCAGTCATCCATAATCTCCATATGCGATACCAGGCCGATCTCATATACACCTACTCCGGACTGTTTCTGGTCACCGTGAACCCTTACTGTCCACTGCCCATCTACTCAAGAGAGTACATCAACATGTACCGGGGGCGGAGCAGAGAGGAGACCAAACCGCATATCTTCGCCATGGCTGACCATGCTTTTCGGAACCTCATAGAGGAGGGCACCAACCAGAGCATCCTCGTGACGTGAGTCAGTCCAACTCTAGAACAACTGTAACTGACATTCTATAGCGGAGAATCCGGTGCTGGTAAGACTGAGAATACCAAGAAGGTCATCCAATATCTAGCTGCCGTCGCGAACTCGGATACTCCACGTCCAAAGTCGGGCGGACGCAACCTCTCCAACCTCTCCGAGCAGATCCTACGCGCGAACCCTATCCTCGAAGCCTTTGGTAATGCGCAGACGGTACGGAATAACAACTCGTCTCGTTTTGGAAAGTTCATCAGGATCCAATTCTCCCGCCAAGGTCACATCGCTGGTGCGCACATAGACTGGTATCTATTGGAGAAGTCAAGAGTCGTGCGTCTCAACTCGAACGAGCGTAATTATCATGTTTTCTATCAGCTGCTGCGCGGCGCACAGAGCCAGATGAAGCAGGACTTTTTCTTGGACGGCAAAGACACCGATGACTTTGACTACACCAGGCATGGCAACGATGTAATTTCCGGAGTCGACGACCGTGATGAGTGGAATGGCTTGATTGAGGCCTTCCATGTCATGGGTTTTACCGAGAAGGAGCAATCGGGTATCATAAAAACTATCGCCGCGGTTCTACACTTGGGCAACATCCGAGCCGTCAAGGAGAGCCGACGGGCAGACCAGGCTACACTGAATCTTGCGGCCGAGCAACAAGCTCAGATAGTCGCCCAACTACTCGGCATCCCCGCCGAAGGCTTCATCAAGGCCCTTCTACATCCTCGTGTCAAGGCTGGAAGAGAATGGGTTGAAAAGGTTCAGACACCAGAGCAAGTCAATCTCTCCATTGACGCCCTTGCCAAGGGTATTTATGAGCGGGGTTTTGGCGACCTCGTCGACCGCATCAATCGTCAGCTTGACCAGACTGGTGCTGGCGCAGACGACTCACATTTTATCGGTGTTCTTGATATTGCCGGATTCGAAATTTTTGATGAGAATAGCTTCGAACAACTCTGCATCAACTACACTAACGAGAAGCTGCAACAATTCTTCAATCACCACATGTTCGTCCTGGAACAAGAGGAATACGCACGCGAACAGATAGAATGGAAATTCATCGATTTTGGCCGCGATCTCCAGCCGACAATCGACCTGATTGAGTTGCCAAACCCCATTGGTATCTTCTCCTGCCTGGACGAGGACAGTGTTATGCCCAAAGCGACCGACAAGAGCTTTACAGAGAAGCTGCATTCACTATGGGACCGCAAGAGCACCAAGTACAAGCGCTCAATGCTGACCCAAGGTTTCGTTCTTACACATTACGCTGCCGAAGTAGAGTACTCTACAGAAAACTGGCTAGAAAAGAATAAGGACCCATTGAATGACAACGTCACGCGTCTCTTGGCTAGTTCTACTGACAAGCAAATCGCCAACCTCTTTGTGGATTGTGCTGATCCGGACGATGGCATGGGCGGAACCCGCAGCCGCGTCAAGAAGGGCCTCTTCCGTACTGTCGCTCAGCGCCACAAAGAGCATCTGTCAACGTTGATGACCCAGCTCCATTCCACGCACCCCCATTTCGTCCGATGCATTCTCCCAAATCACAAGAAACGGCCGAAGCAGTTTAGCGCTCCTCTTGTTCTTGACCAACTACGATGCAACGGTGTCCTGGAAGGTATTCGTATCGCACGTACCGGCTTCCCCAACCGACTTCCTTTCGTGGAGTTCCGCCAAAGATACGAGGTGCTTTGTAGAGATCTCCCCAAAGGCTATATCGAAGGGCAAGTGGCGGCGAGCATGATCCTCGAAAAGATCAACCTTGACAGGTCGCTGTACCGTGTCGGAATCACCAAGGTCTTCTTCCGGGCTGGTGTTCTTGCCGAGCTGGAAGATCAACGCGATGCACTCATCCGGGATATCATGATCCGTTTCCAGTCCGTAGCTCGCGGATTTGTTCAACGCCGCCTGGCCAACAAGCGTCTTTATCGAGCCGAAGCCACTCGCATCATCCAGCGTAACTTTCAGGTCTACCTTGATCTACAATCGAACCCATGGTGGAGGCTTTACGCTCGAATGAGGCCCATGCTTGGAGCCACACGTCAAGCAGCAGAGGTCAAGAAGCGCGATGAGATGATCCACCAACTCGAGGCGAAAATGCAACAAGAAGCTGAAGAGAGACAACGGGTCGAAGACGAGCGAAGACGCGCAGAAATGGATATCCAACGCATTCAGCAGACGCTCGAGAGCGAACGTGCGCTTGCGTTGGATAAGGAAGAGATCTTCAAGCGTCTCCAACTTCGTGAAACTGAACTCTCTGAGAAGCTTGCTGGTGCTATCGAAGATCAAGACGAACTCGAAGATCAGTTAGACGCTCTCATGGAAGCAAAGAAGAGGACTGAGGAGGAGGCTGAGCATTTGCGCAAAGAGCTCGAACAAGCTGGGCAGATCATCAGCAAACTTGAGACAGAAACACAGGAGCTAGAGGAGCAGAACGCCCGGCTAGACCAGCAACTCAAGGAGCTTGAAGTTCAGCATTCTCAGCGAAGTCAGGCCGAGGAATCATTGAGTCAGGAGATCAAGATGCTCACGAGCCACCTGAGCTTGAAAGAACGGAAACTTGAGGACCTTCAAGCCAAGCTCCTCAAGACAGATCAAGACCTTGACATTAAGTTGGCGGCTTCCCAGAAGGAGGTACAGGCCGGCAAGAACCAGATCAAAGAACTTCTCGACGAGAACCGGCAGATCCGTCAACAGATAACAGATTTGTCCTCGACGTCTACCAGTTACGAAGATCTCATCAGACGGAAAGAGAGCGAGCTGGCGATCCTAAAGACCGACCTCAAGAACTATGAAAATGACCGCCGGTTGTTTGACGATGAGAAGCGAACCCTGGCGTCCAAGCATGACGATCTTCAAAGCCGCCTTCGAGATGCGAAGGCTGAGCTGGATGCCGTGCGCTCCCAAAAGCAACAATTGGAACGCGAGGCTGCAGACGCAAAACGCCTACTCGAGGAAAAGATTTCCGAGGACAACGAATACACAGAAAGCCGGAAACTGCTGGAAGAGCAAACGAACGCTCTCAAGGCCGAGCTTTTTGCAGTACAAAAGGAGCTCAGTCGGGAAAGGCAATCGCGTGACGATGTCGAGATGCTCGGGGAGCACAAATACGACACGCTCAAGCGTGACTACGATGCGTTGAACGAATCGAAGATCACCATTGAGAAAGAGATGTACGCCCAGCAGGACGTTCTTCGACGAGCTACGGAGAGTCGCACAGCCCATGAGAAGGAGCGCAAGGAATATCAGACTGAACTTCGCACCCTTCGTGAAAAGTACCTGAAGTTGGAGGAAGAGAAGCTGGACGCTGATGCTCAAGCAGAACGTGCGCAGTCAAAACTGGCTACAGAGCGACAAGCCGTACAACAACTTGAGCTGGAGGCAAAGGATCAACAGCTTGATCAACTTGAGGCGGAGCGTGATGACCTAGCTGAGCAAGTTCACAACTTGACGCAGATGCTCGCCGACTCAGACTCGTTCAAGGAGCGCAATGATCAGCAAAAAGAGCGCCTAGAACGTGAGATTGTCACCATCAAAGGAAGACTCACGGCATCCGAGAACGACAACCGGGCACTTCTCAACAAGCTGCAACAAAAGAATTTGGACATCGCGCGAACAAACTCCCGAGCTAGTGACACACATCGTGTAAAACTCACTCAGTTGACTCACGAGAAGTCTAAAGCCGAGGAAGAGAATAAGCGCCTCTTCCGTCAGCTCGAAGACTCGCAGCTCACGATTGCGTCTTTGGAAAAGCAGAAAGAGAAGTTGTCGCTCAGTCTTGAAGACCTCAACCACGAACTTGCAAGGGAGCACAAGACAAGCCGCAATGCGGAGCAGGCCTCGTCCACCATCAATCTACAACTGGCAGACGTCAACCGTCAGCTTGAGACCGAGCGCCAGTTGCGTACACAGGCTCAAGCCAGTGCACGTGCTGTTCAAGCAACGCTTGACAACACAAACACTGAGTTGGAGGAATGCCATCGACAGCTTATGCTCCTTCGCAAGGTCTTTGACCCAGACTCGGCAGATGTTGCGATCACTTACGAAGCCGCTAAGCCTGACATTGTGAAGACCGTGGACATTGCTGAGCGTCTCGAGGCTGCTAACCAAGCCTTGCGCGTAGCATCAGAGCGATACTCGCGTGCTGAGGCTCAACTCGACGAGCTCCGAGAAAGGCACGAGGGCGAGCTTCATGACCTGGATACACGCCACACCAACTCAAAGCGTGCACTGTTGGAGGAGATGAACGGCAACCAAGTCAATCAACGCGGAACACCTACACACAACCGGAAAGACAGCGAGAACAAGCGTCCATTCTCGATCACAAATACTCCCCAAAACCAGCGCCACATCAGCAATGCCACGAACGATTCCGCACGTTCTGATAGGACAGTTGATACTGTCGCTTTCAACAACCGTATGGACATCGCTGCCGAGCTCGAGTTGGTACAAAACCAGTTGCAGATGTCAGAAATGCAAAACAAACACCTTCAAGACCAGCTTGGACGCTCGCCCGTGCGCAACAACGATTGGCAGGAAGATAGCCCGTCTGTCAGAAGGGTGCAGAAGTTGGAGCGTGAGAACTACCGTCTACACGATATGCTGGATGATTCTGCCACCAAGGTTACCTCTCTTGAGCGTAGCCTTCATTCTGGTCAACTCTCGTACCAAGAGGTTCAGACGAAGTCCCATGAGCAACTTTTCGATCTCTTGACCGCGCAAGAGCAGTCACGTAAATCGGTCGTACAAGCCCACAACACCGCTATCAACGAACTCGCCGACGCCAAGACCGCCTTTGACGACATCAAGCAGGCCAAGCTCTCATTGGAGTCTGAACTTCGCGAGATGCATGCCGAGCTCGAAGACATCACTCAGGAACGAGAGCTAGAGCACGCAAATCACAATCAGCTTCTCCAAGAATTTGCCGATCTCCAGATCCGATTGGACAACGAGACATCGGCCTTAGTTGATGTACAGTCAAGCTTAAACTTGTACAAGAGCAGGGCCGACGACTACTTCAGCAAGTTGGAACAAGCAGAGATCTCCGTACTGAGAGCATCCCGTGCAGAGCAATTTGCAAAGTCGCAAGCTCGGGAAGCTGAAGAAACGTGTGCAACGATCATGGCTGAGCGAAAGGAGATGGACGGCATGGTCGAGGACCTGCAGCGAACAGTCCAGCGGTACGACGAACGTGTTGAAGACCTCTCGACAGACTTGGAGACAGCCCTGCAAGCCAAGAAACGACTACAGAATGAGCTTGAAGATTACAGAAGTCAGCACGCCCATGATGTTGAGGACAGCGAAACTTCGCTGGAGCAGACACGAAAGAAGTACCAGTCCGAGTTGGCATCTCTTACCCAGGAAATCGACCAAGAGCGCGAGAATGTCATTCACGTACGCGAAGAGAATGGTCGACTACGGGAAGAGATTGAAGAGTTGAGGAACAAGTGGGATGACGAACTGCTCAACTCGTCAACCTGGGCGAAGGAGAAGAGCCGTCTTGAGATGACGCTGCAAACTATCTCCAACTCGCGCGACGAGGCCGCCAATGCGCACAATGAAGCGCAGTCCAAGATCGTTAGTCTGCTGTCACAAGTCCGTAACCTGCGGACCAACGTCGACGACCTTGCAGCTGAGCGCGATTCTGCCATCGAGGAGAAGAAGCGTCTCGAATCGCGTCTTCAAGAGGCTGCAGACGCCCTCGACGAACTATCTCGCTCAGAATCTCCCGCCATGCGTAATGCGGCTGCTTATGATCGTGACTTACTGGAGCTCAAGTCCGGCTTGGCACAGCAGGAGGACATCACTGCCGCTGCAGTAGGCAAGATGCGTCGCGCAGAGGCCCTTGCTCAAGAATTGCAAAAGGATATCGTAGCTGAACGTGAAGCGAACGTGAAACTTCACAAGGATAAGGCAGCTGTTGAGAAGGGACTGAAGGATCTACAGCTTCGCCTAGTAGATCTTGAGACAAAGGGCTACAGCGGATCAGCTGGCAAGGACGTCCGGTTCCTCCATGGACGTATTCAAGAAGTATGCTGACACTCCCTATGTTAAATTCTTAATTTTCAGCACTAACATCTCTCACCAGCTCGAACAAGCTCTCGAAAACAGCGAATCCACTCGTCTCTCCGAATCTCGTAGCGTCCGAAACGTCGACCGCACGGTAAAGGACCTACAAACACAAATTGAGCGCCGTGACAAGCAAAACGCCCAGGTCATGGACGATCTCAACAAGTCACGCGACAAGATTTCCAACCTCCTCGCCACGATCGACGATCTTCAATCCTCCGACTCGACGAACCAACTCGCCGCTAAGCGTGCCGAACGCGAACTCCGCGAAGAACGAGAAAAGAACCTGCGCCTTGAGCGTGAACTGGAGGGATGGAAGAACCTCGGTGCCCAGCGCCACAGCGCCCTTGGCGTTCCTCGTGCACCAGGCAGTGAAGCAGGCGGTGAAACGCGTTCGCGACGAGGCAGTTCAATCGGCTTGCTGATGGGCGAGATGGGCGAAGTCGGTCCAAATGACAAGGGCAAGTTCGGCAGTCTACGCTCTGGTCTCCGTCGTGTCAGTGGTCAGAAGGGTTTTTTGTAGTAGATGGGGCCTCTGAGGGGAGGGGTGCATGGAGGTCCCGGTATCCAATCATGAAGCTGAGTCCGCCGTTAGAAGAAGAAGAGGACTTTGCAACGAGAGTTGTTGATAGTGAGCATTTTGCACAACGTCCTGTCGTTACTGGAACAGTGGAGTTGGGTGAGCAGGAATTTCATACACTGGCACGGGCTCTTAGTGGGAGGAAAGGCGCAGGAAGCCCGCATGAGCATGATGTTGAAGAGATGGATGTGGAAATTACGGATGACGAGAGTAAGGCTGGGGATGATGGGGATAGTGCTGTGGGTGGTGTCGGTATTAAACGGAAGAGGACTATTCGTGTTGTGATCAGGTCCAGGGCGTTTATATAGGACTGATGGACTTGATACCCCGGGTCCGGTTCTTACTCGCTTCTGTTGTTGTTGTCGTTATTTTTCGCAAGGCGTCTCGGGTCGGGATTATACACCTCTGGACGTTTATACCTTTTGGACGTTGCATTGGGCTTTGGAAGTTTACATATATATATAATAATTGGTGAATTACTTTTCTACTTCAACACAACGATCTCCTGTGAAGGACCGGCCAAACTATAGTAGCGGTACGAGATCTGTGTGATCAAGTGAATAGGTCCCAGGCATCAGCGTATACTGCATATCTTACGAAGGCCACAGTACTTGCCTGAGGCCACGTTTTTAAATCATATCAGCATAGCCAAGGCGGCAGACGGCTATCTTTACAAAGCATCAGACTTGCAGCAATTTCAAACACGAAGCCTGTTCGAGGTACAATTTGGTATATTGTTCCAGCATCAATTCGTGGGTATGTAGATTCCTAGATTATACTTCTGGTAACGTAACAACCCAGACGTCTAGAAGCAGAAGACTTGATCTTCTAGCTTGCTGACTGGCCTTGCCTTGGCGTAGCCCAGACTCTCAGTCGCCTTCTTCATGGCCGCGACCATAGGAGGCGGTCCACAAATGAGGATCTTAACGTCGTTGGCAGGTGCTGGCAGCTTCTCCTTGATCATATCGGCAGTGACGAAGCCGGTACCACCAGTCCAGTTCTCGGGTGGGTTGTTCAGAACGTAGTGGACATTGAATTTGGGATCCTTGGCCGCTAGCGAGTCAAGCTCGTCCTTGAGTAGGATGTCTTCGGGGTTGACGTTGGCGAAAATGAGGTCGACGGCTGTCTTATCACCTGTAGAGCGTCCACGCATGATAGCCTTGGCGACTTGTAGCATAGGCGTAATACCAGTACCACCAGCAATCATACCGAAGTGCCTGACCATGTTGGGTGTGTAGACCATGGCGCCCTTGGGGCCCTTGACTTTGATTGTGTCTCCGATCTTCAAGCCCGCGACGTGCTTGGAGATGTTACCGGTGGGGTATGACTTGATGAGGAGGTCGACATGGCCCTTGTCTTCGTCGGATGTAATGGGAGTGTATGAGCGTACAACTTCTTTCGGCTGACCTTCGATAGTAGCGGCAAGAGAAATGTGCTGGCCAATGGGGAGGCCAAGGATGTCGGTAGGGCGTGGAAGTTCAAGGCGGTAGATGGCGGTATTATGCGAGAGGACTGTCTTCTCTGAAAGCTTGAATTCTTGGAACTCAGTCGGCTTTAGCACCTTGCGGCTTCCACCGCTATTGCTGCTGTACCAGAGGAAGCCACCGATTACAGCGGCGAACGCCACGGCCAAAGGCAGCAGCTCCATGAGGGATGGCATTGTCGGCCTGTACGGGAGATAGGGAAGTTTATAGGAAAAGCAAAAGGTGGGGGAGAGGGATAAGGAAGGAAAGAGGTGGGGAGCTCTGGAGAACTGGCAGAGGCCGACGTGACAATTCCGCGACCACCGACCCTCCCGATTGGTTGATGAGACGAGACTTGGCAGGGTTCACCCGCCGCGCATCGCATCGCATGCGCGCATTAGGGAATCACACCCAGAATGCATGTCTTCTGCCAGAAAATCTACACAACCGCATGTACTTACAAACCTCTACGCACCGTTTACACAGCCCGATCAGTTCCGTCATATACCTGGTCCGCAATCATGCGAGCTTGGACGTCTTGGCTAGTCACATAATGTCGCCCCTGAACTAGAGCTCCAATTATCCTCGGCCTTGGAAGCCAACGACCTAGAAAGCCTCCGAAACGGTTGCATCAATGCTTGCCAAGTCTTTCCCAAAACGGAAACATTATATCTAGAGGGCTCGTGTAGGCATAGCTAACTTTCTATACGATGCGAGAAACATGGGAGCCCAATGCGCTGCACTAGCAACGCGCGTCTGTTAACAATGCTACCCGTCAAAATAGATCACCAAGACCAAGCAACGCCGACGCCAGTGCCATCCAGCGAATCAGTGCTAAGAAGAGCCTGTCCCCGATCCACAAATGAGTTGTAGCAACGCCAAAGAAATCACGACCCAGGCACGACTCGTAATCTATGGCGGTGACATAAGATTTGCAAGGCAGACCTGTCGAGCATTGTTTCATGATGTTCATTAAGACATGTTGTACATCGATTGTATATATGTACGGGAGCGAGGCTATATAGGTGCAGTATATGTATCTGCAGTAGCAACCCCATTCACACCAACCTCGTTCTTCTTCGCAGCCCATCATTATGCGTCTATCCATTCTACTCTCATTAACTATTGCTTCTCTGAGCAGCGCGCTCCCCTTCGTTGAGCAGCCTGTAGATACTTGCTCTAACCCACGTATTAGGAAAGAGTGGTATGTATCTCAAGATACAAGTCTTATCGAGACCTCTGCTGACAGTTCCCCAGGCGCACGCTGAGCCTTTCCGAACAAGATGCCTACATTGATGCTATCAGATGTCTGAAACGTGCGCCTTCCAAGGGCACCGAGATATTCAGCACCTTGAAGACAAGGCACGACGACTTCGTCGCGCTACACATCAACGCCACACGAGGTTGGTCCTATGAGCCATACACCTACCAACATGTCAGCTAATAGCCTTTGTAAGGCGGTCAAGATGCCCCTTCCATCACCAACCCAGATCTTCCACTACGTAAGTGACCATCGCAAAACACACCCGCTATCAACAAGTGCCATACTAATCATCCCGTCTCCAGCCAACATTACGCTCTATGGTGTCCATACGGTTGGTGTCTTCCTTCCGTGGCACCGCTACGCCATCTGGATCTTCGAATCTGTGCTTCGCTCGGAATGCAACTACACTGGCGCACAACCCTATTGGGACTGGACTCTCGACAACGCATCGACGGGCAACGGCTCTATCCTGACCTCACCCGTGTTGGAGGCTTTCGGCGGCAATGGTGTCGAACCATCAGGCTGCATCCAAAGGGGCCCGTTCTCCGGAAATGATTCTCTGAATATCGGGCCTGTCGAGTCAATGGCACAGAATCCGCGCTGCTTGACGCGCGCTGTTGATGTCGATATGTTCGAGAGGGGTGCTAACTGGGATGAAATCTACCCACCGACCATGCAGGCGAAAAATTATTATCAGCTCCAGAACTTTATCGACGGATTGAGTTTTGTCGATGAGGCGGATAAGATACCCACTAGTGCAGGTATCAACCCGCACGGTCTAGGACATATGGGTGTTGGTGGTGATGTATGTATCCCTCCGCTCGCTATTCTCTATGATCTATCTACCCACCTAGGCCACTTCACACTCACACTACTCTCATAAATCTATTCGATATTCTCAGACTGACACGAAACATAGATTAGAGACATCTATTCCTCTCCTAATGATCCACTCTTCTGGCTCCACCATACGCAACTCGACTACATGTGGGCACTCTGGCAGTCTCGCGATCCTGCCCGCCTGGCTGATATCAGCGGCCCAAGAACCATGGAGGGCTTAGGTCCCGGTCGCGATGCTGTTGAGCAGACTACAGTAGACACGCCGGTGTGGATGGGCTTCGTTGGAGACGATGTCAAGGTTGGTGCAATTCTGGACACAATAAATCGAGAGGGTGGAGGTGTGCTGTGCTACAAGTATGAGGACTCACCGTCACTCGCCGGGAGAAACCTTACAACTCCTCGTTTGCGGAAAGCATAAAGCTGGGAACTCTATTTTTATTCTTCTCTCCTCGAGTGACGAAAAAGCTACAGTTTCCATCTTTGTCATCAGCCGGCCTGGCATGCCTTAGTATACCCACTACGGCTATCAACCCAATACACCTTTTGCAGGCTCTTCCACCTCGTGCTGTTCGTAGCTCTCTGACCCACTCTCGACAACCTGCGCCCTTGGTATCTGTCCAGTGCCGAACTCTTTTATGACCAACCATGCTGGCAAGACTGCCACACCCCATAGCGCGAAGTTCCAGTACACAGCTCCAACCTCAGCAAACACCGTCACACTCGTGATTCCGTAACTAACAGCTTGCCAGGCGCTCTCAGTTCCTCTCAACAACGCGGCATAGCGAATGACTTCGGGTTCGTCTACCGCTATCTGGCCTATCATGAAGTATAGGAAGAGATAGTTCATCTGAAAACCTGCGGTCAAGAATATAAAGACGGCAAAAGCGCGGCCGAAGCCAGGCGAGAGCCAGTCGTATGTTGGTTTCGAATCGCGGAACTCAGTGACGAGCACTGTGGCCCAGAGCCACCAGGCGCCTTGCAAAACGACAATGACCCAAAAGGTACTGCGTGCGCGAGTTCGCAGGGGTATCTTGGTGCGGTCGAGGTACTGGCCGAGTATATTCCCTGTCGTCACCGCAATGATACCGGAAAGCAAAGATCCGAGGGCGCGGGCACGAACGGAGAACCATACTGTTTGCGAGTCAGTGATGAACGGCCTTGATACTTCCTAATTATATACACTATTACCTACAGGCAAGATAAGTGAAGAATACTGCTTCAGAAAAGACAGCTTGGCCGATCCAAAGGAGGATGAGCAAGAAGCGCTTGGTGAAGAAGAGCCTGCCAGTTTCCTTGATTTCAAACCAAGGATTCTCCAAGATTGCGAGGCTCACTTTCTTGCCATCTTTTCTCTGAACCTGACTGGGTCGATTCAAGAATAGCCCTACTACCGGACCAATGCACTGCAAAGCGATGAAGATCAAGTACACCGTGTACGTAACTTTACCGGCTTGATCGCGATCTGCATTGAGGCCAAGATTGATTGCCCCTCCAAGAATCTGGCCAGCAAGACGGTATGTGAGCCAATATCCAAGTGCTTTTCCTTTGTTCCAAGGCTCCGGGTATGCAATAGCGATCGCGGCTTCGGCCATCCAAAAGACACCTGCTGAGATACCGCATAGTGAGGAACCAAGATATATAAACCACTCGGTTCCGAAACGGTTGTTCGTGTAAAGCGCTGCTGCGTAAGGAGCGTAGCCGATGCTGTTGCTAATGTCAAAATTGTTGTTCACCCATAAAGTGTCTCTACTTACGTTCCAAATATCAGTGCTCCTTTGATACCGATGTAATGCACCATCACACTACTAAAATAGCAGCTCACAACCATAAGACAGAATGTGAGCGCATTGCCTGCGTTGACAAGGTGTGGCGATTGCGCTCCCCCCGCACCAAGACTATTCATGGCTCCCCAAATACCTGGTGCACTGAAGTTGCAAAGTCCAAGAATAGTCATGTTGAAGAAAGTAGACCGATACCACTTGACTGGTTTCAGTGAGTTGGTGATGTCGGCGTGTTTGGCTTTCTGAGAGCTCACCTGGGTAGTCTCGCTTTTCGACTGCTTCATCGCTGCCATACTCGATGGAGTTCTCTGAGTTTGCCATACTCGTTGCTGCTGTAATACGATGATACTGAACGAATAAAATCCACAGCTCTTTCCAATGTATGTGTCTACCAAGCGATGTATAGATATACCGACTACACGGCACAACATTATCTCGTACTATGTTGCATTAGTACAACTACCCATGTGCGTATACCCTGCACGCACGAAGACCCGAACCCAAACAGACGGAAGGTCTGGTGAGACGCGTCCCAGGATTCCCAAATCATCATGTTAGGCCGTTGAGATAGGCTCCAGACCCAACGAGAAGCACCATCGCATGCTATCCCGGTCTTACTTCGGGCATAGCATATAGCGGCATGATGGTAGGATAGCACGCAATCTTGGAGCTACTTGACGATGCGTTGCGGGACAACTGCTCCAACAGTGGGGAACTGGTGCGTAAGCGCGAAGTAAGGCCTAGTCGACAAGCGTAGAAACCTGATAAGAACAACAGCAGGATCACGCAATCGGCTTCCAGAATTGTGAGCTATAAGCAACAGATTCAGTAATGGAGATGAGTGTGTCCTCTACCGACAGATAGCGTAGGCTGTCTTGAGAACTCGATGCTGTCGTTCCTGACACAGACACAATCATCGTTTGGAGAGTTAGTGGGCCAAGAAGCTTTCTTATCGAATTATTGCGCGAGCAGGGTATCTCAAGATGAGCGGATACAGACTCATTTGATCTAAAACTTGGGACGAGTATCTATAGCTTCTTTTCTGCACCTGGAACATCCCACCAGCGTTCATGCAGATCTCTAAGATCTACTTCTTGGCCAGGAGCCCTAAGATATGAGGTCAAGTCCGTCGAATCGTCTAGCTCTGCTTCAGTGTAACCATTGCCAAAGTAGGCGAAGCGATTGCCCTTATGTTCACGTTCGAACTCGAAGTCTTCCCAACGTGGCTCTCGTCTGGCAATGGTGAAATGCGCAGCTGAACCAGGCCACAAGCCATGGATGCGCTGTCCAGGAACTCCACCGTTATTCCAAGATGAGCAGTTATCAGTCAAGACTGTAGTTGGGAAGAAAGCATCACTATAGTCGATAAAGTCATCTGTCGCCTCCTTAGATGGCACTATAGACTTGTAACCTTGCGATGAAACCTTGCGAAAAACTTGCGCGAAGTATGCAAGCGAAGTCTCCACGCCATGCGGTACTGTACCCGAAGGACCAGTAGCGTGCGGCCCAGCTAGGAAGAATAAATTGGGGAAACCAGGCGCAGCCAGACCAAAATATGTATATGGGAATCCCCATTTACCTCCAGGCTTCCAGGCTTCATGTAGATCTATCCCTCGCGCCTTGATCGAGAATGGTGGAACGAGGTCGGTGTTGGCACCGGTCGCGCAGAATATCGCGTCGAAGTCGAAAGTCCTGCCATCGACCGTTTCGATGCCTCCAGATGTGAAACGCTTGATGGATGTCTTGACAAGCTCCACATTGTCTTCAGTGAGAGACTCCAAGTAGCCAGGGCCTGGTGTGAGTCGCCTACAGTGGGGTGCGAAATCCGGTATTAATCCGTCAAGCAATTCGGGCTTCTTCGCTACGCGCTTTTTCATAACTTCAATGAATTGCTCCCGCATGCCTTGGTTCTCAGTTGTCCCACGGATCATGGCTCGAAATCGTCTCCAGTATCTGTCTTCCATATCTTTCCGGAAGGCTAAATATGTCTCGGAATCTTCCAAAGCTTTGCGCTGCTCCTCGGTGTATGGCTGAGGTTCAAAGGTTCGCTCATCGCCTGCCCACGATGTTGCGATCCACGTTGGGTTGCGAACGAAGTGAGTAACGTGTTTTGCAACGGGCTGCAGATTCGGCACGACCTGTATACCACTTGCTCCATTTCCGATGACAGCGACTTTCTTATCTGTCGGATCAAACGAGACATCCCAGTTCGATGTGTGCCTCAAATGGCCTTGGTAGTCGTTTAGGCCCGGATAATCGGGCAACTTCCACTGGTTAAATCGGCCAATGGCGGTGATGACGAAATCAAAACTGTGCGCTGATGTTGTTCCATCTTTAAGATTGTGTACTGTCACCCGCCAATTGGAATTCGTATCATCCCATTCTGCTTCGTCAACGCGATGCTGAAGCTTGACGTATTTGTAGACGTCGTGTTTCCTAGCCTGGGCCTGCCAATAGTCGCGAATCTCGGCACCTCGTGCAAATATTTCAGACCACTGAGTATTGGGTGAGTATGTCGCTTGGTATACATGGGCTGGAATGTCACATCGCACGCCAGGATAGACATTTTCAAGCCACGTGCCGCTCTGTATGTCGTTAGTTCACTCATGAGATGAATGTCGCAATACACTTACGACATCGTTATTTTTCTCGAAAATGGTCAATTCAATACCCGGTACTTTGGCAGGCAAAAGGATGCCAGCGTTGATACCAGATATGCCAGCACCGATAACTGCGACGCTGACCTTCCTTATATGATCGATGCAGCGGGTCGGATCCAACTTCAACTTCGAAGATGGATATGAGGTTGGCGTGGCAGTCTGAGCTCCAGCCTGTTCGATGCCTCCTGATGGCACGAGGTGTTCCGTAAGCTGTGCTACGCGTCGCGATGGTGTTGATTCTGGTCCAGCAGGGGTTGGCTTGACCCCGTTGGGTAAGACAGGGCTTGGCGCCATCATGTAATCTGCGGGATGTGTTCTTCGCCTCTTCTGTAATGATACTCTCTCACTACACAAAGTTTTCTCCGCATGGCGACTTTAAAGTCCTGATGTAAGCTGTCTCGTTATCGCTAGGTCTCCTGATGAGCCCCGAAGCCGTAAGACGCCGTTAGATTTGCTATCTGTTCCAGTCCCGCAGAGCCGGTTGTGTGGAAGTGTAAGCACGTCTTTTCTCCACTCGTTGTCGGAATCGCGCCGTGTCAATCGCCATGGATGTCGTGATCGCTCCCCTGCGCTGACGCTACATCCTGCCCTTGGAATTGGAGTAGCAGCTAAGAAAACTGAGGTGGGTCCAAGGCTATACAGCTTCCGCGGCATTTGTTCCCAGCGCAAGACATGTCCCAAGATTATGGTGTGTTGTGACACACATTCTAAAGCTGTCGCGTATATCTGTGGTGTGCAGTACTTATTGACGCGAAACTAGAAAACTTCTGACAGAACTCTTCTTTTTTTCGGAACCTTTACATGGATACGATGTGTAGATGGCATTGGACTTTTACTCTGGAATAATATGGTCTTTAGCATCAACTCCAGCTTTCCAGCGATACGTCGATGCCACGTGCTCTTCGAGCGGTCCCTTCTGTCCCTTCTTCGCGTAGAAATTTTCCCGATAAGTGCCACCGGGCACAGCGTAGTCATCCCAGAATAACCCACGCTTTTTGAGCTCTGGAAGTAACAACTCAATGACGTCCTTGAAGGACTGTGGGAAGAGGGCGTACGCCTGTGTCCATCAGTATCAATTATGAAATGGGAATCGGACATAACTCACCACGTTGAAACCGTCGATGTCAGCTTCGTCAATCCAAATTTGCAGTCCATCTGCCACCTGCGATGGTGTACCAACAAGAATAGGTCCATTTCCGCCGATGCTCACGTGTTCCGCGACTGTGTGTTTTGTCCATTTCGAGGTTCCAGGAGAAAAGCGAGCATAGCCCTCGACAGTAGACCGCACAGCATTGCTCTCCACGTGTCGCAGTTCCTCATCGTCTCCATACTTCCCAAGGTCAATCCCAGTCCAACCACAAAACAGCGCCAGCGCACCGTCCAAAGACGCATATTTTCGATAATCTGCAAGCTTGGTCTGGGCCTCCTCTTCGGTGCGACCGATGATAGGAGTTACAAGAGCAAGGAATTTAATGTTCTTTCCATCCCGACCGAATTGTGATGAAGCAATCTGTCGGATCTCTGCGACATTCTTTGCGCAGACCTCCGGCGCATGAGCGGAAACAAAGATTGCTTCTGCATTCTGAGCTGCAAAGCTCTTACCTGCTTTCGATGCACCCGCCTGGAGAATCAGAGGTGTGCGTTGTGGGCTAGGTTGGCAAATATGAGGGCCGGGCACACTGAAATACTTCCCTTCGTGGTTGATCTCGCGCACTCGATCAGGCACCGTATATACGCCCTTCTTCCGATCCAAAACAACTGCATCGTCTCTCCAAGATGATTCCAGGAGCTTGTACATGACTTTTACGTATTCCTCAGCCTGGGCGTAGCGCTCGTCGTGCTGAGTATTGTCAGCAGCATGTCTAGAATCGAGCTACGGTACCAACCGGTAATTGCTCTCTCATACCCATATTACGTGCGGCGGAGTCAAGATAGCTTGTCACGATCTGTAAGTACTGTCAATTATGAACTCGCCAAGAAAGCAAGTTTTCCTTACATTCCAACCGAGTCTAGACAATGTCAGTTCGTAGAGAGGACCGGAATCGTAGCTGTCTTACCTCCCCTTGGAAAGATGATCGATAGTCGATAGCCTCCGAGCAAGATGATACGGCTGTTCATATGTTGTCGAAACAGTCACACCGAATCCAATGCTCTTGGTCACTGCAGCCATTGCGCTTACAACAGCCAAAGGCTCGTTGACTGGCCATTGTGCTCCTGATATTTTTGCAGCATCAAGATTGCCGTTGTAAACATCATATCCACCAAGCACGTCGGCCACAAAGATGCCATGGATTTTGGCTTTCTCGAGCAGCTTCGCAAGCTCTACCCAGTGTTCGACATCGTTGAACTCATGCGAATGATCGTCAGGGTGTCTCCACAAGCCTGGCGACTGATGGCCACTACCTATTCGGGATTACTTGTCAGCCAGTGACGAGGTTTGATCAATTGAACTGCTATTGACACGGGACTATTGGCTTCCTGAGGGGTTGTCACGTGGACTTACACATCTCAACGAAGGCATTGATGATTAGCTTCTTGCCCACACCAATCTTCGGCTTTGCATTTTTCGCATCCCCATTGCCATTTTCTCGAACTCTTTTTGCCATGTTCGCTATAGATTGTATCTTCGCGTTGTATCGAATGGCGTCGTGCGGAAGAAGTGTCGTGGTTCTGAGAGGCGATGATGTGCTTTGAACGATTTCAAACGTGATCGCTTATCTGCGGGATGTCATCATACCATACCCGAAGTACTATACTCACTACATATTTATCTCCGATGTAGGGCCTTCTGTCTATGCTCCGCACGACTACAGTACGCTACGGTATGTTGGGGCGGTAGACTTGGGAACTAGCCGACCACTTGTATTGTGCCATCCGAACCCACAATGGCGACTGGCATTGCTCCGCCTTACACAACAAGCGCGGAGTAACGGAGGTTTTCTAGCCCATTTGGAAGATCGACGCGCATATTCCCGGACGGTGCAAACTTGGAAATCCGGGAGTTGGAGGTCGGCGAGTTGGAGATTGGAAAGTTGGAGGTAGGAAATCACGTCGAGCATCTGCATTCAAGGCAGCTCTGCTCCGTCTTGCATTCACCTGTCATCAAAACCAAGGTCGTCACCTCTAATCAACTCAAATTACTAAGACACAATGAAGTTGCGGACCAAGCGAGCATGCAGCACTACAGGAGTGGTTCCAACAGATACCGTATCGAAAAGACGCAAAACACTTGACGAAGTCAGGCAAAGAGAGGGAAATGATAAGTTGCCTGTAGTACAGTCAGCATTGAAGCTTCATGCGATACGTCAACCATACGGTGTCACTACAGACCACCCTCTTCCGACGATCCAACAAGATTCCGAACTGTTGGTTAAAGTGCAAGCAGTAGGACTCAACCCGATTGACTGGAAGGCGCCGTACGTAGCACAAACCTAACGTCTTATCCCTATTTTCATTGACAAACCACCAGTGACTACAACTTCGGTATCCCTACCCTACCATACATATCCGGCCGCGAGTATGCCGGCACAGTAGTCCAAGTCCCTGCCACCTCATCAACATCTCGCCCTATCAAAGTCGGAGACCTCGTTCTCATCCCCTCAACAGACTACCGCGACCTACGCAAAGCCGCATTCCAAGAATACAGCGTCGCGTCCTCCTTCAACCCCATCCGTCTTCCTGCAGCCATATCTCTCAACTCAGGCAGCATACTAGGCGTAGCCTTTGTATCCGCCGCTCTCACACTAGGCATATGCATGGGCCTCGACTTTTCCGTTATAGAATCCGGACCTGATCTTCTCAACATTGTACGCAACCTCGATTCCAGTAGTCTCCCAACTGATATACAACAAGAGTGTCTGCACGGCATTAATCTGAAAGAACGTGTTGGGGCCGGAGACTACCTAGTTATCTGGGGCGCAAGCTCAGTCTGTGCGAACATCACGACGCAAATAGCGCGTCTTGCAGGTATCAAGATCATCTCGGTCGTTGATGCAGCGAAACATGGAGCTAGGCTGTCTTCGACCAAAGCCATCGTACCAGATCTGGTTGTCGACTCATACGACCCACAAAGAGCGATTCAAGTTATCAAAGCAAACGCTGGCAAAGGAGGCGCACGCTTTGGATTCGATACCATAGGCAAGGACACAGCGAGGCATCTGCTCGACGCTCTTGCAACACCTGCACCACAGTCGTCACCATCGTCTCTTGTAGAGGTGGAATCAACAAATGGTACAAAAGCTTCTGAGCGACGGGATAGTAAACTACCCACCCCTCCGTCGACACCCTTTGATGCTTCTTCCGCAGGCCAGAAATCTCATCTCGTGGGTTTGACTGGTCTGCCAAAAGGAGATGCACCCAAAGGAGTCGTGCTACATAGCGTTCCTATCAAGCTATATCACGAGGTTCCGCAAGTGGGTGAAGCGCTCAGTGCGTGGTGTGAGCAGTTACTAGCCAAGGGCTTGTTGGTACCACCGGATGTTGTGGATACGGTTGATGGGTTGGAAGGCATTAACGCGGGTCTTGATCGAATGAGGAGGAGAGAGGTCAGCGGAGGGCGACTGGTCGCTGTGCTAAAGTGAGAAGAGCAGATGATTGTACGTGTGTATCAGAAAAGACACCAGCGATGAAACAGCATGTAGAGGTAAAAATATCCCAATGCATTTTGATATATAGTACAGTACGCAAATCGTGTTTCGGCTCTAAGAAGGCTAGACGGTGATTACCGAAAACAGCAACGGTCATCCAGGGTATGATCATCGTGGTCGCTTTCGTTCAAAACTACACAAATGCAATCTCCACGCTCACCCAACTAGGCAGCGTCCAAGTCGTCAGTCTCTCCAAAACGCCACCCAAAATGCATAATTTTGCTGTTCGTACCTCCCAATGCGCCCACGATGCAAGAGTCCATGATGATGGGTATAGAAGAAAAAAAAAAGGTACATGTAGAAACCAAAGGGTATGCGCTAAAAGACGAGGATGAGGATGATGGGCGTCGTAGAGATAAGAGTCATTTCGGGTACAGTTCGTAAAAGGGTTTTGATCAAAGGAGAGAAGGACATTAGTTTTCATCCTCACTACTCCAACCGCCATCATCTTCCTGATCGATACTCTCCATGACCTCTTTGATGACTCCGTGACTCTTCGGGTCCAAGTTCATGGCAATCGTAAGGTGTCGGATCGCGCTCGCACGGTCTCGCAGTTTCTTGTAACACCTACCAAGCAGGAAGTGGATGTTCGGGTCGTCTGGTGCAGCATCTTTAAGATAAAGGAGCTCGTGTAGAGCCTCTTGTGGCGCGTTCAACTTGAGTAGAACCTGGGATTTGCGGAAACGTGCCATGACGGAACGCGGCTCAATCTTGATTGCGTTTTCGAACTGCAACAGCGCGGGCTCGGTCTTCTTCATGCGATCCAGAACCTGCACAACATTGTTAATTTCCGACAGACAAACAGGTAGAGCAGAAGGCTTACCAATCCTACTCGAACAAGCAGCATGGCGTTGTTCTGATTGATCTCCGCTGCCGCCCGATAGTGCTTCTCAGCCACCTCATACTTGCCCAGACGCTCGTAAACATTTCCAAGACCATACCAGCCGTTGTAGTGCCTGTTGTCCGCGCTGATTGCGTTTCGATAGGCCGCCATTGCCTTGTCAAACTCTTCATTCGCAACATGCTCATGACCTTGAAGGGTGAAAGCATAGGCAAACTTTGGATCTAGTTGGGTAGCTCGAGAGAAGCACTTGACAGCCTCATCATGTTGCCCGTTTATGGAACTCGCGTTGCCCAGTGCACACCAAGCCTGTGGAGAAAGGCGGTCTTGGTCCATCAGCGTGTGCGCAAGATGACCCAGGGCCACCTCGTCCCTGAGCTGCCAGAGCGTGTTGGAATATACTTCCATGTGCTCTGAAGAGGCTGGAACCATTTCTCGGATCTTTCGAAACGTGCTGGCTGCTTCTGCGTAATGAGTTCGCTCGTAGTGGGCCTTGCCGATCTGCGCCAGGACCCAAGGCGTCTCCCGTTGTGGTTTGGGCACGACTCCAAATGCTTCCAGTGCCTTTGTTGCGTCATAGCGACTGAGATGGCGGTAGCCAGAACCTATCTTGAGGAGGAGATCAAGCAGCCAGGTCAAGGCGTCCCGTTCCCGCTCCTTATCGCGAGAAGTGTCTATGGGCGGAGCGGCCATCTTCAGCGGCGGCGCAACAGCTGTATCGATCATGCTTGTCGGCCTGCTCTGCGGCTTTGAGGGCTCGGAAGTATCGACCTGCGGTTTCCTGTTGCCACTAACAACCCTGCCTACAGTCGAGCCAGTCGTTGAGCGGGGCTTAGGAGCCGCTGCTCTGGCCTTCCGCAATTCACGTCGCTCTTTCGACTCCATTTCCCTGGTTTCCCTGCTTGATGTAGTTCCTGGCCGGGTGGGCCGAATCTGAGTAATGGAGTTCAACAGCCGTACACTGCGTCGTGGGGGCGCTGCCGTCGGATCGAACGGTTGTGACTGAGGTTGAGATTGCGAGTGGGATTGAGATGGTGGTTGTGGGTGGGATTGTGATTGCGGCTGCGGTTGCTGCAGAGAATGACCAGACACGGTTCTCTTATGGCCGTTCTGGTACACAGGCCGCGGGATATCCGTTTGGTCGACCTCGGGGTTTGTCTTGGTGCGGGCTCTCGACGTGATGGGGCGCGACTGAACTGGACCGCCCGCCTCTCCCATCATAGCATGATCATCGCGGATGTTCTGGCCGTTGCCAAAGGGGTTTTCGGAATCTTGGTAGGAGTTGGGCTGTGCGCTGCGGCCGTTCAACCTGGACTGGAAGCTGTTTGAGGCAGAAACGGGGGGAAGCATATCGGGCGTGATCTTGAAAACGTTGTGGGGGCGGACGACGGCGCCAATGTCGCAGAGGCCGGTAAAGGCGTCCCACATGAAAGAGTTGATCTTGAGCGCGTCGACAAAATAATCAATGGCCTTTTTGGAGTCGCCGTGTGCTGCGTACAGCTTCCCGAGCATGCAGTAGCAGGCGGCGGCGTCGGGCACATGTCGTCTCGATGTCTCGGAATGCTTGTCTGGGATGTTGTTAGTGAAGGGCACTGGCGACGACTACTGTAACTCCTTACTCCAGTGGTTGCGTCCTGCCCACAGGCCGCGCACCTTCTCCAAGGCTTGGGCTCCCTGCTCATAGCGACCGAGGGCAAGACAGGCTTGGGCGAAGATGTAGGCGCATCCCAGATGTTGTGTATGGGCGTTCTTTGACCGCGCATCGTCTAACGCCTGCTTGTATCGTCCCAGACGGAGGTTACAAAGGGCAAGTAGGTGGGCGGCGTCCGGGCTGCGGGGATCGAGGGCGTGCAGGCGGCCGGCAAGGAACAGAGCGTTTTCAGTGAAGCCGTTGTCCAGGTGGTAGTGTACGAGCTGGCGCAGTTGGGCATTGACGCCTGGGGGTGCTGACATGCTTGCTTGGCGGCGGCGACGACAGAAAACGGATCCTCAATACGGTGCGCTCATAGTCCATGCGGCGTTGGCTATGGCTGTTGGGGCTGGGGTTGTGATGGTGTTGCGGGCAGGCGAGGGCAACGCGGTCAAGGTTGTTGGTTTACGCGCTATCGACGCCAAGCAATGCAGCAAAACAATGTTCCACCTACGTCTTTTGTACACATCTGCAGCCAGCCAGCTAGCCCAGCCCCGACAACCAGCCATCCATTGATCCCACCTTCACCATGGCAAAGGTTCGCAGTCCCGCCTACCGCCACCTGGATGCACCACTCACTGATGATTCCTCTTAGAAAGCTACCAAGACGTTGGCCGCCTCCAACACCAAGCGCCTCAACCAAACGCTCTACATAACGCTTGCCGTCCACGGCCTCTGGTGGCTCCTGCGTGCGCTGATCTTCCGTGCCTCTCTATCACGCAAATCACTGCTCGTCTATGTTCTGCTCTCGGCGCCCCAGCTCCTCATCGAGCTCTACTTCGAGCGCCTCTCCCGCCCCACCCTGACTGCCGATGGCGGCGTGCAGCGAGCTGGCGAGGACCTCGACGCAAAGGGCCTGACCGAGTACATGTGGGATGTTGTTTATTGGACCTATGGCTGCATCACTATGTCAGCTATTCTTGGCGACTACGCCTGGTGGTTGTGGGCAGTCATCCCCGCCTACAGCGGCTACGCCGCTTGGGGCATGTACACTGGCATGAGGGGTGGATATCAGGACGCAGCTGGTGTACCCCAACCACAAGCAAGCAAGAGGCAGGCCAAGATGGAGAAGCGTGGTGGACAGAAGATGCAATACCGTTGAAGAATTGGGTTCGTTAGGCATGTATTATACATCATTACACATAAAACTACACTATGCCTCGACCCGCGTGGGAATCTTGGGAATGCCTCGCTTGCGGTCCTGGTGCGGCACACCATACCGCCATCCAGCTGCAGCCGCTCCTCTTCCATCTCTGCCCGCAGCCTCTACGCTGACGTCCTTGAAGACGAAATCCCACCTCCGCTGAGGCACCACTTTCATGGCCCTAAGCTCTTCTTCCTTTCGCTTCTCTTCCTTCTTCTTCTTTTCCTGCTCTAATTCAAAGCGCTGCTCTGCGAGCTTTCTGCGCTTTTCTATTGAAAGCCCCATCTCAGCTTCGCGCTCTGCCTGCACAAGTTCTGGGTGTGGAATGCGAGCGTCGGCAGGCAAGAGCGTGTTGTCAAAAGCCTTACCAGCATCTTCTCGAGTGAAGCGCCGTGACTCGGCAACGGGTACGAAAAGCTGCTGACGTGTTGCGGGATGTACCGCCAGGTCATTGATGGGCTCGTGGACAATCGGCCGTACGTTCCTGTTCTGTGGGAGGGAGGGGTCGACATGGGGGGTTGTTGGAAGCATGGAGAGCACTGCCTTAGAGTAGGGAAGTGCAAGTGTTTTGCCCTGAACATGTTGTGTTAGCGTGTGTATAACAGTGCGTTCTCGATATTTGAGTGAACAAGTCGACGACGTTCAGCAAGAGCATGACTTAAGTTTTGTAACCATGTGGATGTCTTCAAGACTAATCGATTTTTTAAGAAGCTCATCATGTCGTGTTGTGTGGGGTAGATGCAAGAGAGAAAACATACCTGGGCAACCCACTCCTTCTCCATCTGCTTCAATCGCACCACCGCGCCGACACGCTCGTTGCTGACGCCGAACTCGACACTGGCAAGCGATACTGTGGCACCGTCTTTCTTGACTCTCCGCCAAATAGCTTCCCTTAGGTCTTCGCTTAGGACTGGCTGGCTGCGGAAGTACTGATTGAGCGGGAAAGGCCGTAAGTCTTCTGCCGTTTCAGGCGGAAGCTTGCTGTCGTCTTCCTTTGTGCTTGGCTTCTTGTTCTCCTTCTGTTCGGCTGCACCAGACTGTATTGCTGCTTCGAGATCGTCCAAGTTCTCCTGTCCTGCAGGTGTCGCCTCTGTAGTCTCTTCTGCCTTGGCTTCTATGCCGGCTTGCTCTGGCTTTGTCGAGGCCGCAGCCTTTGCGCCCCCGTCCCTTTTCCACCCAGGACCAGCACGCACTAGATTGCCATACTTGTCGTAAGCTCCTAGGTAGTTTGTCGACTCTGGTATAGGTTCCTTGAGGTTCCGACCAGGCCCATTGAGCCACTCATAGAACTTCCGCCGCCGTAATGTGATTTGTGGGCATGGTGTCTGTGAGAACTGCCGCGAATGCCGTGACGAATTCGAGACGGGTTGTGGTCGTGCAGCGAAGCACTGAGTGACCTGTGATGGAGCGGCAGGGGTAGAAAAGTTTGAACACCGTAACCGAGGGGGCATGTTGAAAATGTGAGGGGCTACCGCATTGGCGCCGGGTATCAAAGATGAAAAGAAAGGGAAGGGGAAGAGAGGGCGTGGACACGTGAGTGAGTCTAGACGGAGGAAGTAGTAGAGTTGAGTGAGGAAGAATGGGGACCTCGCAGGAAATTCTTAGTGAGGCGCGATGTCGGTTAGCGCCTTGGCACATATGGAGACCACGAACATCACCTAGACAGGATGCCTTTTTGGTGTCACTGTTCAGTGGTCGAATATTGGAGATTACTAAATGAGTAAATAGGGTTGACTTTTACCAATGCTATTGGAATGCCACACACTTAACGCCATATCTTGCGCCGAAAAATGGTATTCAAAACTATGAGGCCGTTACATAACTGCCGAGGCAGACGCAAGAATATCAAAAAACAAAGCCACGACCATCATGGAATATGCCGTCGAGACCGAATAATGCATACTCCAGTATGCATAAAGTCCCAACCGTAGCCAAATGTAAGCTCAAAAAGAACATGCGGCGAGCCGCCATAGAAGGTTCCCTCTACTAACAACCTTGACCCATCAGCTAGCCAGGCAACGCATTCTGAAGGTCCACAATCGTAGTGCTGCGTCTTGCATGAACATCTCAAGGCACGTGGTAAGACGGGTAAGTTCTCAAAACCTTCGCCATACACCACGGTATGAATAGTTCCCAAATGTTCCAAATAAAGAAGCGGTAAAGGTCGACGCACAGCCAAAGCAAATGCGTACGATGGTAACGAAGAGACACTCCATTCTCCAGACTCCAGTGTAATGATCAAACAAGCAAATCGCACAAGGGGGAATCATCGCTGTATACTGTAAAGAGAGCCACGCCCACTGGGCATGAAAGCCCTAGTCACCCCACGCCAGTACCCATGCCCTTGCGTTAATGAAGCCAAATACAACCCAAACGACTCAACACCTCGCCATGATTGAAAAGACAGGATATAGTGGCAACAACAAATGAAGGCCGGATATGCAAACGCTCCGTGATGAGCACCCCCAACTCCTCAATCATCACTCATAATGGCATAACAGATATAGGTTGGTGTCTCGCGCGCTCATTCATGGAGGTGGGTGTCTCTAGCGCCCCATCATGTAGGTAGAATAGCCCGAGAAGCCGTTCCCGGCACCACTGGATGCGAGTGGCTGGCGCATAGCACCGGCCATGTCGTTATGGCTCATCCCGAAGCCACCGTTGGAATACATGCCAAACCCGGAACTATTGTTGGTGTGCACAGGAGTCGATAGACCTGGAGGAACAGATAATCCTGGTGGTGGTCCAGTGGCTGTAGAGAAGCCTGGGGGACCTGCGGCACTACTACCGAAACCCGAGAGAGGGGTGGATGGGGCAATGGCAGATTGCGGGCCCATTGCTGAGTTCTGGCCACTGCGAACACCCAAGGGGTTCTTAGAGAAGCTCAAGCGAATGCCTCCCTTGACGCTATTGTGAAGCATATATCCATAAAGCTCGTTGAGAGCCTTGGTAGCAAACGACGTGTCCTCAAACTCGACAAAGCACATGGGACCGTTTTGCTTGGTACGGAAACAAAGTCGCTTGTACCCGCGCTGTTTAGAAAAGACAGCCTTGAGTTCGTCTTCGGACGTGTCCATGGGGAGATTACCCACGTAGAGAGTGTTGCATGGGGGGTTCTGATCAGCAGGATTCACTGGAGGGTATGTTGGCCGCGCAAAGTGCTGCGTGTATTGCTGGTAGCCAGTGTTGGGACCACTGCTCAAGGCGGATGGAATGCTGTGTGGTGACAAGGCTGATAAGGCCGGACCAGGCGACTGCATATTGGATCCGGAGCGTGGAGAAGCAAAGTTAGATAGAGGTGGGGATGTGGCATTCGGCACTCCGTTTGTGTTCAAGGAAAGAGATCCGAAGCGTTGGATAGGAATAGAAGGGGTGTGAGGGTTCGTTGCGCGACGCTGCATGCCGGAGTGCATTGGCGGACCGCCCGTGGCGTATCCAATTGACTCGTTGAGCAAGCCGTCATCATCGTCAGCGTCTTCATTGATTACTGACTTGCCCAGATTGCGGCTCGTGAATGAGGTGTTGACGGGGGATGTCGGCGAGAAAAGGTTGTTGACCGGGAACTCTCCGTTGCCAAGACCTGGGGTCCCGTTGGGTGGGGACATGTTCTCCATGTTTTGGAAGGTGCCGTTGTATCGCGATGATTGTCGGGCGTTGGTTGTAGCACCGGTCATGATGCCATTGCCTGTCGCTTGCCGCGCAGGTGTGCTGTCAACTGTGTTGCGGCGCGAGCCGACTGCGCCAGGCGAAGCGTCCTGAGTCAACTCGACGACCAGCGTCGCATCGTTGGTGGCATTGCGCTTTCCGTCCAGGAGCTGACGCGCTTCTTTTGCGCCTTCGAGCGTCTGGAAGTGCGCAATGGCAGAGGCGAAACCCTTGTCGTCGGCATTCCTGGGAGGTGGGAGGATTTCGCAGTCGATGAGGTCTTTTGCGAATAGCAGGATGTTGCGCACGGCATCGCGATCGCTGCTACTCGGAAGCCTGCGCAATAGAATAGAGTAACGCGCGTTGTTCGTGAGGCCCTTCTCGAGAGGCCTGCGCTCTCCAACGGCGCCCGGCATGGCGTACATGGATGGTGCGAATACGTCGGCCGTCATGGTGTTGTGCGATGCAAACGGCTTTGGCGGCGACGACGACGTGGAGCTGCTGTGAGAGCCGTGGGAGCCGTGGGGAAATGGGCTGTTGGACAAGTTCGAGGGGCTTGTGCTGCTGGGACTCGGGCGGGCGGCCATGTCGGCCTTTGTCTACCAGGCGTTGCGGCGGGCGTGTGGCAGAGACAAAGGACGCGGCAGCGACGGCAGCCTGGACGCGGGCGGCGCAAGAGAATTGCGCGTCGGCAGGTGTGAAGATGGCGGTGGTGGTGGTGAAGGTGGCGAGGGTAATAGCGAAGGCGGCAGCAGGACCAGGGCAGATGGACGAGCGTCGACAGCAGTGTTGATGGCAGGCCGCAGCGGTCGAGGGCGTGAGCGTGGGCGGGCGGCGGGCCTGGGCAATGCGCGCTGTCGAGGCTCTGGCACTGGGCCAATGGGCTTGAGGCAGGAACCACAGCCAAATCTGGGTGCAATTGTGGCAGAAGCGAGCCTTGGAGACTACAGTAGCGGTCGATCTAGTATTTGCAAGCAAAGAGGGTGGGCATTAGGCAGACGCAGGCGATGATGGGGCGGCAGTGGGAGGGGAGGAGAAGCGGCAGAAGGGCGAGTGAAACCCCCCCGGCATAGCGTTGACGGGGCGCGACTGCCTCTAAGACGACGACTCTGATGATGAGCCCAGAGAAGGCGCGTCGGAGCTAATTTGATTACTGTGCGAGTCCTGGATTCGCCCGTCACACAGGTACCCCATTCCAACCACTCGACGCCGCGCTGCGCTACCCACAGCACTCGATTCCTATGGCAGCACGGCTGTCGTTGGGCTGCTTGCAGTCTCGTTGGCCCCTCGCGTCTTAGCGGCCGCGAGTATAACCAGGGCTGAGTTTAGCCTCTCCTCATCATCATCGTCGCCGTGCGTTGGGCCCTATGGGAGAGATCGGCCCCAAGATGCAGCGCTTGATCCACGGAACTACGGTTCATGGACGGGCCCCTATCTGCGGGCCAAAAACCTTGGAACGTTGACACTGCTCCGACTGTGTGCTGAGCGCGTGAGCCCAACGCTATCCGACCCTCGACATCTGTCCACGATGCTTATCCGTGCCATCTGCTACATCAGGCAGAGACGCGCTGTCGGCTTTCTCTGCCAATCACCGTCTCTGAATCTGCACTCGGCATGCCGGTGCACATCTCGACCAAAAGCAAGTTTCATCAAATAGCGATCCTTTATTTTGACCCTTTATTCACGTTGCGGGGCTGCCCAAGGGGTCCGAAGAAACCCATCTCCCGTGCACTTGGGAAGTGGAAAGACACTGATTCGCTCATCACTCAGGCCATGTTCCATGCTTCTTTGCTTTGTTCGCCCAATCAGACGTCCGTCGTCCCGTCCATTTATGCGCTATCTTTCCGGTCAGAATGGCCACCCCTCACGACTAGGCCTTGTAACATGTATCAGAGAGCTATCGTCGCTCGAAAATTCTTTGCAGACATGCCCAAGGAGCTGGCGCTTCGGCGCTGACTGTCAGTGCGGTACGACGTAAGATAGACACCGCCGGTATGGCTGGAGTAGAGCACGTTGTGGGGATGTTCCGAGGTCTCGATCAACGCCTGACTAGTCAGATCTATCATGTACGCCACTTCCCCGAGATCGCTAAGACCGTTGCAGCGATTAGCCCGATTGACTGAGATCGCGCAACTTGGAGGTAGGCTACAGCTCTGAACGAGACCATCTTGCTGCCTCGTCGCATTATTCGGAGACACGCTAGAGTCGGTAATTGTAGTTTGTACCGCAGCGTTTCGCATTCGTCTAACAACGGGTTGCCTCGTGGTAGGGTCCATGACCAATTAGAACGATGTAGGCTACGCCACGCCTGGCATACGTCACCTTGTTGCGATCGTAAGTGGAACATTACCACCACATCGGCACATTTTAAGTGATTGCTCTGGCGAAACAACACCATCAATCAAGAGAACCGAGCCAAAAGCGCTACTTCCTGCTGCAAGCACCCCAGAAAGACCATTCTTGCAACAACTACGTCAGATACTTGTTTGAATCAAGGTTGTACTGGAAAGAAGACTATAAAGGTAAGCAAAATACGGTGAGAAATGAGCATCATCTCCTCGAAGCTTTATAATACAATTGGGCTTTTAACATCGCAAACGTTTTGACTACACACCGCTCACAATGTGTTGCAGAAAGAACCGCCAGCAACGTTTTGAACAACAACTGTTGTATTCGCCACCAAGACGAACCTGTTGTAAAGCACGTCTGGTACAGGCTCAGTCGAAGACTATCGGCACGTATAGTTCATCTCAGCGGCCCACCATGGTATGATAACAAGGCACCAGTGGTGCTAGACAAACAACTGACGTGGTACAGGCTGGTCTCATCGCAGTCAGTATTGGCCTTGGTGCCGAGAAGCTGGGACGTACCATCTCCGAAAAAAGGCTCGAAAGAAAGGAGAAGAAGGCTATTGCTGCATGTTCCCTATCTGTATGAAATGCCATATTGCCAGCTAACCAGCTGTTGTAGCAACACGAAGCTATATATGGCTCTTCGTCATCTGCTCCACCACCGCCAATGACGACCCGAGAGCGGCAAAATAAGACGCAGAACAAACGCGAAGAGGCTCAGCGGGCGCTTGATGAAGCTCGTCGAGAGCAACCAAGCGTTCCACAGTATGAAAGCAGACGCCCAAGTATGGATGCAGAGAGGGTTAGTACAGAAGAGCCGCCGCCGAGTTACGAAGATGCCACACGTCATGAAATCAGGCGTTCTTGAGTCGTCAAATTGTGCGATTGGTCTAGTATATGTGCGAGATTTCCGTGTAAACTATCGTAATGTTTCGAATGTAATTTTGTAATAGCCACTAGTTCCTGCGAAGAAAGTGTTCTTCGTTCGCCAAATGCGGTAGTCCGCGAACGTTGGTACTGCACCTTCACTCGGCTCACGCGTACACTTGCTAGCCTAAATATTGGTCACTTTCGTCTGCTCATCGATCTTCGTCACGATGCAAACGCTCTGCGCACGGATATAATTCCCGTCCAGCTCTTGCTCTCTCACTTCCACCCCGACTTCCATACAACTACATTCTATCACAATATAATTCCTGAACCCATCAGAGACAGCTAGGAAACCGCAAGATATGACTCCCTGGACTTCCTCCAGCAAAGGCGCTGCTGCGCACGACCGAATCGAAGCGCCGGTCACAGTACGAGGTTACCTTTTGTGCGTCTTCGCCGCGTTTGGTGGTATCCTTTTCGGCTATGACTCGGGCTACATCAATGGTGTATTAGGCATGGACTACTTCAAGCAACAGTTTGGAGGTAAACTCGGCCTCACGCAGACTCTCGTGCTTTAACATTAACGTCACCACTAGGACCTTCCGCCAGTGAGGAAGCTTACAACGGCCACCTTTACAAAACATGGGAGAAGTCTCTCATCGTCTCTATTCTCTCTGCTGGTACTTTCTTTGGAGCTCTTACCGCGGGGTCCATAGCGGACTGGATCGGCCGTCGCGCCACTATCATCACTGGGTGCGCCATCTTCTCGCTTGGTGTCGTCTTACAGGTGGCTGCTTCCAGCGTAGGCGTCCTAATTCCGGGTCGTCTGATCGCAGGTTTTGGAATCGGGTTTGTCTCCGCTGTCATCATTCTATATATGTCTGAGGTTGCACCCAAGCGCTTTCGTGGAGCCATCGTATCAGGATATCAGTTCTGCATCACTATCGGCCTGCTCCTAGCATCAGTGGTTGATAACGGAACCAAAGACCGTATGGACTCCAGTGCGTATCGTATCCCGATTGGGTTGCAGTGGCTATTTGCGACTGTCCTCGGCGTTGGCCTCTTCTTACTACCTGAATCGCCCCGTTGGTATGTCAAGAAAGGTCGTCATGAGGCTGCGGCTCGTGCTCTTGGTACCCTACGTGGGCAGGCTGCCAACTCGGACTATGTCCGGGATGAGCTCCACGAGCTCATCGCTAATCATGAATACGAGAAGCATATGCAAGCGGGCTGGGCTGATTGCTTTCGTGGTGGATGGAAGCCATCTAGCAATCTCCGCCGTGTAGTCCTCGGAATGGCACTTCAAATGATGCAGCAGTGGACTGGCGTGAATTTTGGTAAGTGACTTACACATCCACAAGCATACTTTTCCAGCACTAACTTATCGCGAAAGTCTTCTACTACGGCTCTACTTTCTTCAAGACAGTCGGCATACAGAATGCCTTCCTGGTTTCTATGATCACGACCGCCGTCAATGTTGGCTCCACACCCATCTCATTTTGGACGATCGAAAAGTTCGGCCGGCGCGCGCTCCTGATCTACGGCGCTGTCGGTATGCTCGTCTGCGAATTCATTATCGCCATTGTCGGTACCGTTGACGAAGGCAGCAAGGCAGCCGGGTTGTGCCTCATTGTCTTTACCTGCATCTACATCTTCTTCTTTGCATCGACCTGGGGTCCAGGTGCTTGGGTTCTAATCGGCGAGATCTTTCCTCTCCCCATACGTGCCAAGGGCGTCGCTCTCTCAACAGCCAGCAATGTAAGTAACGCAGATCCTTTAACAGTTACGAATTGGTTGCTAACTTAACAGTGGTTCTGGAACTTTGTCATCGGCTTCATCACCCCCTATATGGTTGACGAGACCTACGGGAATATGAAGGCTAAAGTTTTCTTCGTTTGGGGTGCTACATGCACTGTCTGCGTTCTCTTTGCGTACTTCTTGGTGCCTGAGACTAAGGGTTTATCCCTCGAGCAAGTCGATCGCATGCTTGAGGAGACGACCCCACGCACGTCGAAGAAATGGGTTCCACATAGCCTGTTTGAGGACCGCGCTGGTGTATCCTCGCTAGACACGGCGGAGAAGATGAACAGTCGCGAGCCGATTGCGCATTGCGAACATCGCGATATTTAAGCTGATGCTGTTGGCTTATCCTATGTAAAGGTATAATCACTTTCGTGCCTTCGCATAGCCATCTTTGCTTCTTTCGGTAGGAGCCCTTCGGCTGCTAGTATGGTAGAAGGTTGACCAAGCATTGTGGCCGATGGTATCGCATGGCTTGCGGTATGGATGCTACAGGTTTGAAGCTTCACCTTGATGCTATTCATTGTGTCTTATCTAGAGCGCATTACCTAGACGGAAGAAGCATTGGTAATGATGGAATAGTTCTCCTGCTGTATTGTTTCGTCTTTCGTTATCACGTAGCTTTGCAATTCGGATGTCGGATGAGTGATAAGATCTGATCGGGACCCCACATGCGGAATTCATGCGCGCCACAATGCGCGGCTGACTGATGGATTGAAAATCCCCGGCAAATACAACTCCCGCACACCGTATCCACTCAAGGAATACGTGCAAACAATTCCAAGGACTGCAAACTCACCATGATTAAGCCATCTCGGTGTTCGCAACTTGCTGGTATTTCCGACGTTGTCATCACGTCATCGTCATGGCTGTCCTTGCCCCACGCTCTGTATTGATGGGTCTCGTAACGGGCCTATTTCTTGCCTGGTTGATGCAGCAGATGGTGCCTGTATTCCACTTGCCGGCCATCAAGAATCACGACACGTTTCCAACGTCTACGACACTATCCCTATCCGAGTCGATGGCGCAAGTAGTAAAAAATAGCCTCCGCGCTGCTAGGCATCGTGCGTGGGTCGGTGGTGGGTACAAAAGCACATCGTCGCTACGTGCCCCAACTCCAATTCCAACGCCTGCCTTTCACAACTCTGCAACTTTCTCAACCACACCACACATCATGTCTTCCCAAAAGTCTTTCATGGACGCTGTCAAGGAGCGTCGCACCTACTACCAGCTCAACAAGGAGTCACCCATCTCCGACAAGCAGATCGCCGAGATCGCTGAGAAGGCTCTCCTCCACGTCCCTTCATCCTTCAACTCACAGAGCACCCGTCTGGTTGTGCTCCTCAACAAGGACCATGAAAAGTTCTGGGACTTCGTCCTTGAGGTCTTGAAGCCTCTTACTCCTGAGGACCAGTTCCCCAAGACCGAGCAAAAGATCAAGGGATTCGGAGCTGCTAAGGGAACCGTAAGTGCACACCTTGTGTTTGTCGAGCGCCATCTAAAACATATTTGCAGATTCTGTGCTACGAGGACCCTGAACCCGTCGAGGGCCTCCGCAAAGCTTTCCGTGAGTAACCCCGAGCACGTTTTCCCAGCTCATGCTTACATTCATCGCAGCTCTTTACGCCCACCACTTCGGTGACTGGTCTGAACACACCAACGCCATGCACCAGTACGCTCTTTGGGTAGCTCTAGAGGCTGAGGGTTTCGGTGCCAACCTCCAGCACTACAACCCCATCATCGACCAGAAGGCCGCACAGGAGTGGGACATCCCTCTTGGATGGAAGCTCAGGGGCCAGTTGGTCTTTGGTGGACGTGCGGGCGAGCCTGGCGAGAAGCAGTTCCAGGAGGTGCAAGGCAAGAGGTTGTTTGTGCACGGAGCGCAGTAGACGTGTGTTATATAGATACAATAATTCAGTAGAAGAATTTCGCATGCAATCGATACACGGAGCTTGGAACGCGTAGATCCAACACGTTGAAAGTGATGTCAGACGCGAAACTAATGCGTCGTCAGCACGTGTGCACGAGCCTGGCGCTAGTCCGCCCCTCCACCAGCAGGATCTACCAACTTCCACGGTTCAGACGCTCTTTCATTTTTCAAGATCACATTGGTCTCATCTTCAATTGCAGTGCACTGTGTACATGTCTTTCCGCACAGCTCCGAACGGCTTTCCTCGCTCTTTCGATCATGCGTAGCTTCTTACAACTTTGTGTGCTAATGTTCAACCCATTTCCTCTCATGACTAAATCACTATCTCTGTTATATCAAACTCTCAAAGTATTCTGGAACGGTGACTGTGGGATAAAGTTCATAGATGCAGCCATTTCTTTGTACTTCACTTTCCAGTTCAATCAAGGCACGCAAGATGACTTCGCATACAGCATACAGGATGGACGATAAGCTTGGCGCTATGTTACCAGTCGTCACTCCTTCTTTATGGTTTGCTTCTCCTCATTGTCGCCGTCGTACATTCTCTAATGTCAAGAACTGACGAGCAGCTTCGAATTGGCACCAGAAACAACTGCCGTAGCGACTCTTTCACTACTCAACATAAAGAGTCAGTCGCGCTCCTCGCGCGTCCCTTTTCTTGTACACCTTGTTAATGCTCCGTTCAGATACTCCGCGCTGTTTACACCCACAGAAGCTGCCATTCGTTACTCCATTATTGCTGTTTCGCACGTAGTGTCTTGACACTTTTGAGAACTCATTCACAACTAGAGACTCCGCAAAGATTGAAAACTCCACCTACGATATGACCCCTCCGAATGCTCGCGTGGTGCGTCTGACCAACGTACCCTATGACGTGGGTGAGGAAGACATCCGCCAGCTCTTCGGAAGCTGCGTTGTCGTCGACCAGATTCGCACCATCGATCCACAAGGGGGGACAAGCTCCAACGTCTACGTTCTGTTCTCGACTGTCCAGGACAGCAACGCTGTTGTTGAGAGGTATGGGGACCTCTACGTTGATGATCATCGCGTCACCACAATGCTTGCGCCTACCGGTAACTATAGCTGTAAGCTCGATATCTGGTCAACTCCTTCGCCAGTGCTTTGCTAATCTATTGATGTAGTCAACGCCAGTCAGGACGGTTTCGCTCGGCCTAGGGATACTGGCACTGCTTCCGCCGCAGCCGAATCGCTCTCTACAGCCCTGAATCGCACGATTTCGAATATTCTAGCTCTCGGTATCACACGCGAAAAAGGAGCACGCCTCCAACAAGAGCAACAAGAAAGCATTCGAGAAGAACGCTCTCGCGCGGATTACACCAATGAGCAAGTTATTCGTCTCGTTCTCATGAAGCGCATGATGGCCTCTCTACCACGTTGTAAAGACCAAGATCGGCGGAAGCAGCCTCCAGGCCGAGCCTCCATCAAGCATCTTGTCCCTGCTCCTGATCTTCGGAACAGGCAAGACCCACGAAACCGCGTGCTGTTGATCACAGATCTGCCGACTGAGGCCGACAATGATGCTGTCAGGACATTTCTCCAAGAGTATCGTCCCGAGTCGATTGATCGAACCCAAATTGGAGGTAACTGGATGGTTTCTGCGCTTGTTCTCATGCAAACTACTAAGGGCCGTGATTGGGCTGTTAAGAGTTTGAATGGCGAGATAATCCAGGGACAGAGGGTAACCGTGCAAACCTTCAGCAATCTGACCCAAGGTAAGTCAAGACAACTTCGAGTACCTCGAAGATCACAGACGTGTTTGTTCTTGTCGGACTTGATAGCTACAGTCATGATTGATATAGTCTAGGTTTACTAACGCTAAGTAGACGTTCTCGATCGTATCATGAATCCAGAAGCTTCTGTGCCAGATGCCAACGCCAACTCTCCGAGGCGATCTAGAATCGCCAGATCGACAGTTCCTCCAGCTGCGAAGGCTCCGTACGTGCCTTTCGGGACTCCACCTGCTCAAGCACCGGTTGGCTCAGCCCCATCAACTTCATACTTACCGTTCGGATCTTCAAATCCTCTTCCAGCCGCTTCCGCTGCCCCAAAGCCTTCGGCCATAGCATCCATTCTCGGAGACAAGACTCTGGATCAGGAATCACCTCAAGCACCGTCTGACCGGACTCATGAATATACCTGGGGCCGACGAGACCAGATTGCGGCTGGCAACCAGGGCGTAGTTGTGGCTTCTCAGAACCGCAGGAATAACTTTCGGACTAACTTGGATCATGTCACTCGCGAGCGTGCTGGAGAACAGGATGCGGCCGCTGATCAGGTAAGCCCTGAAGATGCTCGCAGTCGTAGTCATAGCTCTCAGAACCGTGGCCGTGGTCATGGTCGTGGTCGTGGTCATGGTCGAGGTGATGGTCAAGGAGACCATAGCCATGGCCGTAGTCGTGGAAATCGTCCGGGTGGGTTCGGTGGCTTGTCTCACGATGAGGCACTTCAATGAGGCGGTAGTGTCACTGCACTTCTCCCATGCTGGTTCCGCTTTCTAGAAGTCTGGGAGTAGGACTTAGCTTCTAGGAATCTTGTCGTTTTGCAACAGTCAGGCGTTGGTTGTGGATTAAATAATATCTTTTGCTATGGTCGGCACTCAGAATGCTCGCACAGCGAATACTCATGTGCTTCTCTTCTTCTTCTTTTACCTAAACGGTCGCGTACACGCAAGGAAATTGAGAATAGATTGAGCAAAGTACTGATTCGGTAGGATCATGCAAATGTTGAACTTTCGCTATCGAAGCGATGAAAGCGTGAGGGACATTGATGTCAAAGGCAAAAAGATAGTCTATTGCATGCTAAATCATGATCGCAATCGCTATGGCTATAAGAAGAAACAGGGGTATTCAAGCAAACTAATATCCACCTCCGATGGACACGAGTATCATCATCCTTCACCAATGTGTTCGCTTAACCAAAGTGGGGAGCGTTGAGCACAATGGCGCAGGAAACACCACCAATGGTACCAGCGATGGGAATTGTCATGATCCAGGAGAAGACCAAGAGACCAACTCGTTGCCAGTTGACCGCCTTAAGAGTACCGTTGCAAAGACCGACACCAACGGTGGCACCAGTAATGCACATGGATGTGGAGACGGGCAGCGAGTATTGCGAAAAGATGAGGACAGTAAGAGCGGCACCCATTTCCATGGAGCAACCTCTGCTGGGAGAGTGGTAGGTGATCTTGTTACCCATGACCTTCATGATGTTGTAGCCGTAGGTGATGAGACCGAGAGAAAGAGTAGCGGAGAGGACAGCGAGTTGCCAGACGGGGACGGGGGCCTTGGATGAAGCGGCCTTGCCAGTGTTCCAGGCACCGTAGATGACAGCCCAGGGACCGACAGCGTTACCGATATCGTTGGCACCGTGAGCGAATGAAGCAGTGCAGGCAGTAAGAACTTGGACGAAAGAGTAGGTATGCTCGACCTCGTTGGAGTACTTCTTAGCGTGGCTGTAGACGCGCTCCATGCGGCGACCTTCGGGAGTACCGTGGATACCAGTCTGGGCGGCGTGAATATCGTAGTTGACACCGTAGAGAGCACCGACGGTGATCATAGCGGGGATGCGCTTGAGGGTGATGAGCATGTTCTTCTTCTCATAGATTTCACCAGTCTGGATCTTGTTCTCGTGAAGGTATCGCATAGCCCAACCAAGAGGTCCGCGCTTTTGCCTGAGCTTAGCGTGAAAGCGTTCCTGACCTTGCTCAACGAGCTGCTTGTAGCTGAGTTGTTGGTGCTCGGCAACATCGGCACTGATGGCGCCCTTCTCACCGTCGTGGCCAATGACACCAACTTCAGAGTCGCTGCCGTGCTCAGGCTTCTTCATCTCTTCGTCTTCCTGTACGACGGCGTAGTCGGGGACAACAGCAGCCTCAGCACCTTCGGGGGTAGGACGCTTGAAGAGAAGGGGGCCTTGGAAAACGTGGTACCAGCGAACGGTGTGGTCACGCTTGACAACCTTGGTGTATAGGTAAGGAACGAAGAAGAGGAAGGACAGGGCAGCGAGACCGACACCGCAAGACATGGTGACGGTCGCGACAAACCACGCTGGCTTCTTGTTCAGACCGAGGTTGGGCGATCCCTTGTAGACGATGGAGAGCGTGCAAATGGTTCCGGCGATGAGGAAGAAGAAGGGGGCGGTCCAAATGGCCCAAGGGATGGGGTTCTTGCGGACGTGTACAGTCATCTTGATCAACATGAAGATGATGGCACCGAAGCAGGCAGAGGCAGCGGGAGCCATTCCAAGACCAGCGAAGATGGCACCAAGACCCTTGCCCTTGTTCCAGCCCCATTGTACGTTGGCAGCACCGGCAACAGCGACACCGACACCAGCGACGGAAGAGATGAGCGAGTATGAGGACGAGACGTGAGCAGAGTGCTTAGTACACCACATAACCCACATGGATGCACCGGCCAGAGCACAGGTGAAGGCGAGCATTTGAACACCAGCATCGCCCTTGAAGGCAGTAGGAGGAATGATACCGTTCTTGATGGTTTCGGCGGTACGGGCACCAACGGTAATGGCACCAACCATTTCGAAGATGGTACCGAGAATCATAGCCTGGCGGTAGGAAACCGAGCGGGAAGAGACTGAAGTAGCCCATGCGTTGGCAACATCGTCTGGGTAGTGTTAGTATGAGGACAAGGTAGTGGTAGCAGTCTGTACATACTAGCACCGTTGTTGTAGGCATCGAGCATGGCAAAGAATGTGCCGATGGCGAAAACATAGTTGTACTGTGTAAGACGTGCCATCTTGACTGATGCTCTAGGGGCTCAGTAGGCTCAGTAAGAAAGAGTGATGGTCCGAAGCTGGAGCTGGGATGCTGAAATCAAGGGAGGGCGTCTGTGAGACGTATATATATATTGATACAGGCCCTTTGCGCAGCCCTTTGCAGCGGATTAGGCCCGTATTGGCGTCAAAGCCTTTCACATCTGCGAC